GGTATCTGTGCTGGAGGGGGGCTGTGCTGGAGGGGGGGCTGTGCTAGAGGGGGGCTGTGCTGGGGGGGGCTGTGCTGGAGGGGTATCTGTGCTGGAGGGGGGCTGTGCTGGAGGGGGGCTGTGCTGGAGGGGGGCTGTGCTGGAGGGGGGGCTGTGCTGGACGGGGGCTGTGCTGGAGGAGGGCTGTGCTGGAGGGGGGCTGGGCTGGAGGGGGGCTGTGCTGGAGGGGGGCTGGGCTGGAGGGGGGCTGTGCTGGAGGGGGGCTGGGCTGGAGGGGGGCTGTGCTGGATGGGGGCTGTGCTGGGGGGGGACTGTGCTGGGGGGGGACTGTGCTGGAGGGGGGCTGTGCTGGAGGGGGGTCTGTGCTGGAGGGGGGCTGTGCTGGAGGGGGGCTGTGCTGGAGGGGTATCTGTGCTGGAGGGGGGCTGTGCTGGAGGGGGGGCTGTGCTGGAGGGGGGGCTGTGCTAGAGGGGGGCTGTGCTGGGGGGGGGCTGTGCTGGAGGGGTATCTGTGCTGGAGGGGGGCTGTGCTGGAGGGGGGCTGTGCTGGAGGGGGGGCTGTGCTGGACGGGGGCTGTGCTGGAGGAGGGCTGTGCTGGAGGGGGCCTGGGCTGGAGGGGGGCTGTGCTGGAGGGGGGCTGGGCTGGAGGGGGGCTGTGCTGGAGGGGGGGACAGAGCACCTGGAGTGAAGAGGCGGCTGTGGTCCCAGGCCGTCCCTGGGGATGAAACCAGCAGCGAGCACCCAGCTCAGCAGCCAGACCGAGCTCTGCCTTCCGCACAGCGAGTGCTGGCATCGCTCTTCATCAGCTCTTTTCTTTTTTTTTTTTCAATATATATATATATAATATATTTTATTGATTTTTTACAGAGAGGAAGAGAGAGGGATAGAGAGCTAGAAACGTCGATGAGAAACATCGACCAGCTGCCTCCTGCACACCCCGCACTGGGGATGTGCCCGCAGCCAGGGTACATGCCCTTGGGCTCCCGGTGGTGCCGGAGGGCCAGCCTCTCCCCGCCCGGCCAGCGGCGGAGGGGACCAGGTGCGGCCCCTCTTCCTGATGCGGCTCCCCCTCCCCCCGAAGTGGTTCCGCAGGAAGTGGCAGAGCTGGTCTGCGCCTGCAGCTCCAGGGGCCTGGCTCCGGCTCCGGCTCCGGCTCTGGTTCTGGTTCTGGTTCTGGCTCCGGCTCCGGCTCTGGTTCTGGCTCCGGCTCTGGTTCTGGCTCCGGCTCTGGTTCTGGCTCCGGCTCCGGCTCTGGTTCTGGCTCCGGCTCTGGTTCTGGCTCTGGTTCTGGTTCTGGCTCCGGCTCCGGCTCTGGTTCTGGCTCCGGCTCTGGTTCTGGCTCCGGCTCTGGTTCTGGCTCTGGTTCTGGTTCTGGCTCCGGCTCCGGCTCTGGTTCTGGCTCCGGCTCTGGTTCTGGCTCCGGCTCCGGCTCCGGCTCCGGCTCTGGCTCTGGGGAGGCGCCCACACGCCCCGGGAGAGCGGGCGGCCGCGGCCGACCTGCCTGTCAGGGCCGCTGTCAGTGCCGGGCTGCTTCCGGGCCGCTCAGACCGGCCACCGGAGAGCCGCATCCTGGCGGGGAAACTGAGGCCCGGAGAGAGGTAGGTGGGCGGCCGCAGAGGCGGGGGGCCGGGGGCCGCGGCCTCCCGCAGTGGGTGATTCTGCCGGATTTGGGGGCTCCTGGTTGTTGGGCACTGGGATAAGCTTTTGGCGGGACAGTCCCAATTTTTAACGATTTGTCCCACGGCATTTTCATTTATTTTTTCATTTTTTTATTTTTTAAGATTTTTAAAAAATATATTTTATTGATTTTTTACAGAGAGGAAGGGAGGGAGATGGAGAGCTAGAAATGTCGATGAGAGAGGAACATCGACCAGCTGCCTCTTGCACACCCCCCACTGGGGATGTGCCCGCAACCAAGGTACATGCCCCTGACCGGAATCGAACCCGGGACCCTTCAGTCCACAGACCGACGCTCTATCCACTGAGCCAAACCGGCCTCGGCTGTCCCACAGCATTTTTAAAAAGTCCGGATTTTTCTCAGTCCCAATTTTTAACAGTTTGTTTTAAAACACCGCGGGACAAATTGTTAAAAATCGGGACGTCTGGTCATCTTACACTAGGAGTTTATTTAAGGTAAAACACACACACACACACACACACACACACACACACACACAAAATGGTGTTGCCTGATCTTGGAGGCTGAGGTGGTTCCCAGGACGGTGACTGGGAGAGAGGGTGGCGGTGATCGCGGCTGGAAGGGGTGTCCCTGAGTCTGCTCCTTCTAACATCTGACGCAGGAGGCAGTCCCAGGACCCGCAGGAGGCAGTCCCAGGACCCCGGAGGGCACGGCATTTCGTTTCTCTCAGTCGTTCTGCTGAGTCGGAATCCTCTGACATTACATGGACTTCTTTTTCACTGAGATAATGAGGAGTACCCACTGAAGACAAGTTTGGTTTAGTCCCTGAAAGTGTCTCCTCCCTGGCTGGGTGGCTTGGCTGGTTGCTAGCTGCCCGGTGCACCAGAAGGTTGTGGGTTTGATTCCTGGTCAAGGCACATACCTAGGTTGCAGGTTTGATCCCCAGTCCCCCCGGAGGCAACTGATTGATGCTTCTCTCTCTCTCCCCCTCCCTTCTTCTCTCAGAGATCATAGTGACCTAGATTACACTTTGAAGAGAGAGAGAGAGAAAAAAGAATGTCTTCATTTCCTTTGACTTTTAAAAAATATTATATATATATATTTTATTGATTTTTTAAAATATATATTTTTATTGATTTTTTTTACAGAGAGGAAGAGAGAGGGATAGAGTTAGAAACATCAATGTGAGAGAAACATAGATCAGCTGCCTCCTTCACGCCTCTTACTGGGGATGTACCTGCAACCAAGGTACATGTCCTTGACAGGAATCGAACCCGGGACCCTTTAGTCCACAGGCCGATGCTCTATCCACTGAGCCAAACTGGTTAGGGCACCAAGCCCCAGCTTTATAGTCAACCCTTCCCCCTCCCCTGGCAAGCAGGGGTTTGCCCCCTGCCCTGAGGTTGTCATTTCCCCGGAACACATCTCCGCCTTTAAACACTGGAGCGAGCAGTGGTGACCGTCTCACCGGCAGCCAGGGCTGTGGGGCCGGGCCACCGGCAGGCCTGCCGCTTCCTGCTCTGGGCTCCGGGCCGGCGTCTGGGAAAGCTTTGTGAGAAAAGACAGGTTTGTTTCCACTTCCTGTCTCTTCGCCTGTCTGTCTTGCTTCCTCTTTTTTTAAAGAAAAGAGATTTTAAAATTTATTTTCAGAGAGAGGGAGAAGCATTGATGTGATGTACAACCGGCGTCTGTACCCTTCGGTGGCACCGGATGCTGCCCGATCAGCGGGCCACCTCGGCCAACACTCTTTCTTTTCCTGTTACTGAGGTACATTTAAAAATATAGAGAGCCCGAAGCGGTCTGGCTCAGTGGATTGAGCGTCGGCCTGCGGACTAAAAGGTCCCGGGTTCGATTCCGGTCAAGGGCATGTACCTTGGTTGCGGGCACATCCCCAATACGGGGTGTGCAAGAGGCAGCTGATAGATGATTCTCTCTCATGGATGTTTCTAACTCTCTATCCCTCTCCCTTCCTCTCTGTAAAAAACCAATAAAATATATATTTTAAAAATTATATATATAATTGACTTCAGAGAGGAAGGGAGAGGGAGAGATAGAAACATCCATGATGAGAGAGAATCACTGACCAGCTGCCTCCTGCACGCCCCCTCCTGGAGATTGAGCCCACAACCCGGGCAGGTGCCCTGACTGGGAATCCCACTGTGACCTCTGATTGGTGGGTGGACACTCAGTCACTGAGCCACACCAGCTGGGCCATGGTTAGCTTTGAAACCTTAAAGGAAACCTGTTTCTTGGAGGAAAGACCTTGACACCTCCCTCCCCCTTCTCACAAATAGCCTGTGAACAGAAGACGTGGGTTTCGGTTTCTTGTGGAAACAAAGGTACGAGATGGAAATCCTAGAAGTTCTTTGGGTTATGGGGGGTTAGGGTTAGGGTTATGGGGAGTGGGGGGTAGCCCGTAGCACACAGAGCCTGTTTTAGAGACCTTGAGGAGCTGAGGGAAACACGGAAGGCCTCGGGGTGGTTGAGGGAGCTTGGGAAAGCTGAGGATTGGGGTGTTTAGGGGAGGGAAGGTTTGAGGGTGGGCTGGCTGTAAAGGTGGAGAGGTCTGTGGGGTGAAGCTGGGAATACTGGGAGAGGGAGGGCACAAAGGAGGTGGGGAATGGCAGAGCCAAGCCTGGGGTGGGTGCCTCCAGAGGCGGCGAGGCCTGGAGCAGGGTGAGTTTGGGCACGTTGTGTTCTGAGCCTCAGTGGGCTGTTCTGGGAAATGGGTGTAAGCATCCCGATCCCAGAGTGTGGCAAGGATTCCAGGGACTGAAGGTAAGGGCTCCCTGAATGTTAGGCACCTGGGCCAGTTTCCAGGGACTGGCGTCCCAAGAGGAGGTATGAGGACTAATAGGGACCAAGAAAAGATTCTTTAAAAATTATATATATCAATATATATTGATTGATTTCCGAGAGGGAGGTGAGTTGGAAACATCAGTGATGAGAGTCATTGATTGGCTGCCTACTGCACTCCCCCTAACCAGAGATCAACCTGAAACCTGGGCATATGCCCTGACTGGAATGAAGCTGTGACCTCCTGGTTCATAGCTCGATTCCCAACCACTGAGCCACACTGGCAGGGCCAGGGGAGATTCTAGAAGTGTCTGGGGGAGCAACCACTGGGTTTAGGGGCTTCCCAGGGTGTGAGTTTGACTCTGTCCACCCTCCCACTGAAACCTTCCCCTTCAGCACTGCGGTCTGGCCCCTGAGGGGGCTGGGCTGGGCGGAACTGCAGCCTCAGACACTTCCTGGCCCTGGGATCGCATCTGGACGTTAGCTGAGAGGCCCTTTCCCCAAAGGACAGGGCAGACTGCACGAGGTCTCCCTGGGACGGAAACTCATGTGTAAGGGCTCGGGGCAGGCATGTGTCTTCCTTTCCTCTTTGCTTGTCTGTCTGTCCTAGCTCTCCCTGCAGCCCAGGGTGGCTTTTGTGGTTAAAACAGCTTTAGGGCTGCGCCTGCTCTCCTGGTCAAGTCGGGACTCCAGGCCGGTGCACCAGGCGCCCTCCCTCTGCTCCTCGGACCCTCGCAGTGCTCCTGCTCCTCACCCTCCAGCGGTGCTGGGGGCGGGGGCTGCCCGTGGCATCGTCTCAGAACTGACTTCCTCCGGGTGGGGTGTCACCCTGGGGACTCTGGCAGGGGTGCTCGGACACCTCACAGGCTCCAGATGTGGCATAACGCACACCCCGGGCTTCTCCCGGTGCTCAGGGTCCGCCATGTCCTTCTGGGAGGGCGCCGTGTGGTGAAGGCCGGGCCCTGGCCCTCCGGCCAGCCCATCAGTGTCAGCTGTGCGCTTGTGTTCAGCTCAGTTTTACTCAACCTGCGACCATATTAAACGCTCTCAGCCCCCGCTTCCAAACTGGAGTCCTTCCAGCCTGCCTACCACGGTCACTGCCACCACCACCGCCGCCATCGCACAGCCTCTGCGCCGCCCCCCGGGCCCGGGCTCAGAGGCGAAGGAAGGCGCCGCACACCAGCCAGTCGCTTCCAAGTCCTTTATTTGGTTCCCGCGCTCAGGCCTGCATCACAGGCCGCGACTTCTCCGCCTGCAGCTTCACTCCGGAGCCCGCGAAGCCCGTGCCGCCCTGGGGTGTGGGGGGGAAGGCGGAGTGAAGGCCGTGGAGGGGCAGAGGCGGCCCGAACAGGAAGGGTGGGCGGGGCCTAAGGCAAGGGGCGGGTCTCCTGGGAAGAGGGCGAGGACCAGGATAGGTGTGACATCGAGGGCGGGGCCTTGGGGAGGGGTGTGGCCTGAGGAGGAGGCGGGGCTTGGGGAAAGTGACCTGTGAAGTGGCGGGGTCTTGGGGAGGAGTTTGTGAGAGGCGGAGCTTGGCCTGGCGAGGAGGTGGGGCTTGGGGAAGGAAGTGGCCTGACAAGGGGGCGGGCCTTGGGGAGGAAATGGCCTGGCGAGGAGGCGGGGCTTGGGGAGAGGAGGGGCCTGGCGAGGAGGCGGGGCCCTGGGAGGGCGGGGCTTGAGGAGGCGGGGCCCTGGGAGGAAGGCAGGTGGAAGGGCCCCGCTCACCCGCTGCAGCACGATGATGTCGCGGTCTGTGAGCTTCTCCCCGTTCACAGGGTCCACCATATCCTTCCGGATCAGCTTCTCCACGCACTCCAGGGTGACCACGGCGCCCCTGCGGCGAGTGGGAGTCACACGCCGCCCGCCCAGAGGGGCCGCCCCCAGCCCGCCCCTCCGGCAGGTGCCCCGTGGCTCACGAGGGCCGCAGCACGGCGCACGGCGTGGCGTTGCTCAGGCTGTCCCGGGTCACGGCGCACACGTAGCGCTCGCTGCGCGTGATGAGCCCCACGCGGTCCACGGAGCTGTCCAGGGGCGTGAACCGCACCGGCGTCAGGTCGGACATGCGCAGGGGCTTCCCGGACATGGGGCAGGTCACGGTGCGGGACTGGAGGAGGAGAGAGGCAGGGCTGGGCCGGGTGCGGGAGGAGGGGGAGGTCCCGGCGGGGAGACACTGGAGACGTGGGCGCAGGGGGCTCGCTGGCGGGGCTCACCGGCTTCTCCAGCTTGGTGGCTTTGGCCTCGGGGGTCAGCGACGGGATCCAGAAGCTGGGCAGCATCTTGTCCTTGTCCTTGTCCTTGCCTGCGGGGCCGGCGGCGCTGGGACCCGCTTGGGCATCATCTGCAGGAGGCAGAGGGTTCCCATGGTTAGGTACTTGGCCCCCAGGGACCCCCGCCCTCCCACAAGCCTGCCCCCTCACCTGGGCCAGCTCCCGGGGCGGCCTTGGGCGTGAAGGGGTTGAGGGGCCGGCTGACGATGGCCGCCTCCTTCTCCAGGAAGCCCCGCACCTGGTCCTGTGCCGCCGCCCGCTGCAGCTCCTTCTGCTCCTCCCGCCGGGCGCCCCGCTGCTTCTCGTAGGCCTGGGCGGCGGGAGGAGGGAGCGGTGAGCGAGGCCCTGCTTGGAGCTCACATCCAAACACCAGCACACCTGCGCTCCCTCCTCCCGCACCTTCAGCTGCCGCGCGATCTCCTTCTTCTGGTGCAGAATGTACTCCAGGATCGCCTCCCGCTCATACAGGTAGCCGTCCGGGCTGCGAGAGGGCGGAGGGGAGCCTGGGCCGGGGCCATCGGAGGCAGTGACGGAGCGGGCGCCCACGCCAGCTGCGGTGAGGGGCCAGATGACAGCCCAAGAGCCCACCCTCTATTACCAACATGACACACACAGGGTCATGCCGCCTCTCAGACGAGGACGCTGAACCTGAGGGGTGGGGCAGACCCGCCCCCACAGTCCCCTCCCGTGTTCCCAGCTCACGTGACGACGGGGTCATGGCAGGGCTGCAGGGAGAGGCAGCAGCAGTCGAAGTCCTTGACGGCATCCCGGCTCAGGCGGATGTTCTGGGTCCCATAGCCTGAGGCCGCTGGGGACAGGCAAGAAAGCGCATGGAGAGCCCGGCCAGTGTGGCTCAGTGGTTGGGTGTCGACCTATGAACCAGGAGGTCCTGGTTCAATTCCCAGTCAGGGCACAGGCCCGGGTTGTGTGCTGGATCCCATGTGGTGCCTGCAGGAGGCAGCCAATCGATGATTCTCATCATTGATGTTTCTCTCTCTCTCTCTCGCCCTTTCTTTCTGAAATCAATAAAAATATATTAAAAAATTTTTTAAAGAAAAAGGTGGAGAGAAAGGAGATATGCCTCTCTCCAAACGGTGAGAGGCACCGGGAACTCAGAGGTGAGGAGACTCAGAGAAACAGGCAGTCAAGAGTAGGCTGTGTTGCCGAAACCAGTTTGGCTCAGTGGTAGAGCATCGGCCTGTGGACTGAAAGGTCCCGGGTTCGATTCCGGTCAAGGGCACTTACCTTGGTTGCGGGCACATCCCCAGTGGGGGGTGTGCAAGAGGCAGCTGGTCAGTGTTTCTCTCTCATCGACGTTTCTAGCTCTCTATCCCTCTCCCTTCCTCTCTGTGAAAAATCAATAAAATATATTTTTAAAAAGAGTGGCTGGCCCTCGCCGGCTTGGCTCAGGGGATGGAGCGTGGGCCTGTGGACCGATGGGTCCCGGGTTCGATTCCGGTCAGGGGCACGGACCTCAGCTGCAGGCTCCTCCCAGCCTGGGCCCTGGCCAGGGCGTGTGCAGGAGGCAACCAATGGCTGTGTTTCTCTCATATCGATGTTTCTCTCTCTCTCCCTCTCTCTCCCACTCTCCCTAAAAATCGGTGGGAAAATGTCCCCGGGTGAGGATCAAAAAAGAGAGAGAGAGAGAGAGAGAGAGGGCCGTGCGGTCTCTGTGCTGGGGGCGCCGCACAGCCCACAGGAAGTGTTGCCCCGGAGGGAGAGTGACAGACGCCAGTCACCCTCTGGCTCTGCCCAGCTCCGGAGCGGCACCTCTCCCGCCTCCTTTCTCCTGCGGGAACATTGCTATGGCAACAGTGCCCTCCCAGAGGGGCCCAATGCGGAGCCCTCCCACGGGTGCTGGGGCTGGGCTGTCACCCACGGGGACCAGGGGCGCGCCCGTACCTGTGTCCTTCTTCTTCTCGTGGTAGGTGTACACGGCGCCCGCCGTGCAGTTCTTGCCGTGCCGCGTCATCCTGGGGAGGAGGGAGGAGGGCGGAGGGAGGGGCCGGAGGAGGGAGGAGGGAGGGGCTGGAGGAGGGAGGGGCTGGAGGAGGGCGGAGGGAGGGAGGGAGGAGGGAGGAGCGGGAGGGCCGCGGGGAGGCAGGGAGGAGGGGGGGAGGAGCTGGAGGGCCGCGGGGCCAGAGGGAGCCGCTGCGGGGCCAGGGGCAGGGAGGACAGGCCTGGGACAGGGAGGACGGGCCTGCACGGCCGGGGGCTGAGCTGCGCCCGCGAAGGGGAGCGGGCGGCGGGGCGGGGGCCTTAAAAGCTTACGAAACCCCTGCACGTCCCAAAGGGAGGCGTCGCTTTACCTTGGAAAAGGCCCGGGGTTCGGGGTTCGCTTGCAGAAGCGGGCGTCCTGCTGGCAGGCGTGGCCTTAGGAGGCGTGGGAGGAGCTACCTGAAACCGGACGAAAGGTGGTTATTATTATTATTATTATTATTATTATTATTTTTAAAGCTTACAAGGATGTTCTCTCTTTTTTTTTATTAAATTATCTGTGTACATATTTTAGCATTGCGCCCCCTTCCATACATACCCTCCCTCCCCAGAGATTTGTCTCTTTTTTAAAAAATATATTTTACTGATTTTTTTTTTTTTTTTACAGAGAGAAGAGAGAGGGATAGAGATTAGAAACATCGATGAGAGAGAAACATCGATCAGCTGCTTCTTGCACACCCCCTACTGGGGATGTGCCCACAACCAAGGTAAGTGCCCTTGACCGGAATCGAACCTGGGACCTTTTAGTCCGCAGGCCGACGCTCTATCCACTGAGCCACACCGGTTCCGGCCGCGGGCAGAGCTCGGAGGGTGGAGAAGACCGGGCTGCGGGCAGAGGGACGGGTCAGCCTGCCTGGGAGGGCTGTGGGTGCTTCAGCAGAGTGGGCGCGGGCCTCTGCCGGGGTGCATGCGCCCGAAGCCTCAGAGACGCCAGCACGGGAGCAAGACCACAGCGGCTCCCCCAACGGAACGTCCCCCGCCCGGGAGGAAGGGCCGTAACTGCCCGTCATGGAGACCAGCACAGAGATGCGACTGAGTAGGCGTGTGCAAAGCATCATGGGTAGATCATAAGAACACAAAGCTGCCTGGCCGGCCTGCTCAGTGGTTAGAGCGCTGCCAGAGGCCAGAAGGGGTCGCAGGTTCGATTCCTGGTCAAGGGCACGTATCTCGGCTGCAAGTTCCATCCCTGGCCCTGCTCCGGACTCGAGTGAGAGGCGACCAACCACGTGTCTCTCTCCCATGGATGTTTCTCTCCCTTCTCGCCCTCTCTCCCCCACTCCACCCCCTCGTCCACTCTCTAAAACAGCGGTTCTCAACCTTCCTAAGGCCGCGGCCCTTTGACACAGCTCCTCGTGGTGGTGGCCCCCAACCATAAAATTACTTTCATTGCTACTTCATAACTATAATTTTGCTACAGTTATGAATGGTAGTGTAAATATCTGTTTTCACACAGTTACAATTCATAACAGTAGCAAAATTACAGTTATGAAGTAGCAATGAAAGTAATTTTATGGCCGAACCGGTTTGACTCAGTGGCTAGAGCGTCGGCCTGGGGACTGAAGGGTCCCGGGTTCGAATCCGGTCAGGGGCATGTACCTTGGTTGCGGGCACATCCCCCGTGGGGGGGCGTGCAGGAGGCAGCTGATCGATGACTCTCTCTCATCGATGTTTCTGGCTCTCTGTCTCTCTCCCTTCCTCTCTGTAAAAAATCAATAAAATATATTTTTTTAAAAAAAGGAGGAATTGTTGTTCCTGCAGCCTCTCCCCAGGAGGTCTGACAGGGACCCGCCTTGTGGATCTTGGACACAGTGTATCCCACAGGTGGGAATGTCACTCACGTTCCTCCCCTCCCTCCCCTCCCCCGCTCCCTTCCACTTAAAAAAAAAAATCAATGGAAAAACTATCGTCACTCCTTGGGTGAGAATTTAAAAACAAAACAACAACAACAAAACATAATGCTGGGTGAAGGTAAGAAATTAAAGATCAGCCCTGGCCAGTGTGGCTCAGTGGACAGAGCGCCGGACCATGGAAGGAAGGGTCCCAGGTTCAATCCCTGTCAAAGGCATGTACCTCGGTTGCTGGTCCTGGTCGAGGCCCATGTGGGAGGCAACCAACTGATGTATCTCTCTCACATCGGTGTTTCTGTCTGTCTCTCCCCCTCCCTTCCACTCTCTCTAAAAAAAGTGAGGATTAACAAAAAACAAACAAACAACAACAAAAAAAGTAAGGATTAACAAAATACTACAACAAAAAGTAAAGGAGATCGCTAACAAGCTATGTGCCCAAACGATACATTTTAAACAACACCTACACACGAAAGCAACTGCACAGATTAGAATGTTTGCCAGGTAAGGGAGGGACTGACTAGGGCCGTGGTCGGCAAACTGCGGCTCGAGAGCCACATGCGGCTCTTTGGCCCCTTGAGTGCGGCTCTTCCACAGTACACCACCGCCTGGGCCGGTCTGTGTGGAAGAAGTGGCGTTAGCAGAGGTTTAGGTTTAAAACATGTGGCCCTCCAAAGAGATGTCAATCGTGGTCCTGAGGCTATCTGGCCGAGGGGATGGGCAAGAACAGGAAAAGGAAGAGGGCGGGTGCAGGGCCAGTGTGGGGAGGACTGAGCGGTAGGACCTGCCGGGCCCGAGTCTCAGGGCGGCCCCCACTCCGTGTGGCTCCAGACGGCTGGTCCTTTTCCCCCCCGAATCTCAGTTTCCTTTGGGGACCCCCAGGGGGTCTCGCTGCGGGGCCTGGACTGCAGGGAGGTCACACCCAGAGCTGGAACACACGGGAATGTTCTATCCGGCTCTCCGGTTTCAGGGGGATTGAGGGGTGTGTGTGTGTGTGTGTGTGTGTGTGTGTGTGTTTGGGGGCGACATGCCCAAGGGCTCCCACATGTAAAAAGCAGCTAAAGCAACTTCATCATCACTCCCCTTTGCTTCTGGTTACTCAGGAACCCGCTTGGCCCTGGCCAAACCCGAGGCGCAGCCTCTCCGGGCCGTGGCTCTCGCTCGCCCCCTAGTGGTGCCTTCCAGAAGCCGCTTTTTCGTGGTGAGGTCTGTTTCTGCAGACCACGGCCCTGACCTTCCGGACGCATCCCTGACCTTCAGGACGCATCCGGGCGGCTTAACAAGTGTGCTCACCCCGGCAGCCGCCCCCGCCCCCCAAAGCGGCCTCTGCAGGAGCGCACCGCGGTGCACCCCCAGGCGACCCAGAGCCCAGACCCCCGCTTCCTCCCGCCCCAGCTTCTGAGCCAGGGCCCCGCACCTGTGCCCCTGCCCCGCCCGCCCCGCTTCCGCCCAGCCCCCGCCACCCGGAGGGGCGAGCTGACCTCCGGACACAGCCCCGCTCTATTCTTAGTCGCCCACTGCCTGCCCCGCTGCGGTGTCTGGCTCCGAGCGGCTTGTCCCCTGGCCAAGGGCAGGCTATTTCCATGTCTTTGGCCTCCGGGCGCGGACATTTCCCTTCAGGAGAGAGAGGCACAGCCGGAGGTGTGTGTGTGTGTGTGTGTGTGTGTGTGTTCACCTGGCCAGGAAACACTGGGATAGCAGGGTGACGCTGCCCGACCCTGACCACAAGCCAACCCTGAGCCCCGTCTCGTCCATCCTCCAACCCCAGCCTCCCGCAGGCCGGTCCCACCACCGCCCCGCTCTGCACAGAGCAAACTGAGGCTTAGAAGTGAAGCCCTCGCCGGTGTGGCTCAGTGGACAGAGCGTCGGCCTGCGGACTGAAGGGTCCCGGGTTCGATTCCGGTCAAGGGCATGTACCGTGGTTGCGGGCACATCCCCAGTAGCGGGTGTGCAGGAGGCAGCTGATGGATGTTTCTCTCTCATCGATGTTTCTGGCTTTCTATCCCTCTCCCATCCTCTCAGTAAAAAAATCAATAAAATATATTAAATAAAGAAAAAACCACACTGAATGGTACACTTTAAATGGATGAGTGTTATGTTAATTATATAATAAAAAAATAATGTCTGTTTTAGTTTCTGAAAGGGCAAGTTTTTTTTTAATCCTCATCTGGGAATACATTTTTATTGATTTTTAGAGAGAGAAGGGAGAGAGAGAGAAACATTAATCCGATGCCTCTCATCCAATGCCCCCGCTAGGGATTGAACCTGCAACCTAGGCAGGTGCCCTGAGCAAGAGTCGAGCCCTCGACCATTTGGTGTATGAGATGATGCTCCAACCCACTGAACCACCCGGCCAGGGCCGGCGAGGGCGCGTCTTCACAGACAGAATCACCCCACAAAGGCTCGTTGGCGCCCTCAGTGACTTCTGAGACCCTGAGGCCAAGGGGGCGGGGGCAGTGCCAGGATTCTGGCCACCGGGTGACACTGTCTCCTGCGTGAGGCCAGTTTCTAAATAGAAAGCAGGGCGGTGCCACCTGCTGCCACTGGTATTTCGGAGGGCACATCGAAGTAACAGCTAAGTCCTCACCAGAGGATATTTTTTCCATGATTTTTTTTTTTATAGAGTGGAAGGGAAGGAAGGAGAGGGAGGGAGGGAGGGAGGGAGGGAGGGGGAGAGAGGGAGAGAGGGAGAGAGGGAGAGAGGGAGAGAGGGAGAGAGGGAGAGAGGGAGAGAGGGAGAGAGAGAGAGAGAGAGAGAGAGAGAGAGAGAGATAGATCAGCAACCTCTCACACGGGATCGGATCGAACCTGCAACCGAGGCACATAGCCCTTGACTGGGAATCGAATCTGCAGCCCTTCGGTCCTCAGGCCAAACCTGAGCCAAACCGGCCAGAGCACACCAGCTAATCTTTTTTTTTTTTTTTTTTTAAACATATTTTATTGATTTTTTACAGAGAGGAAGGGAGAGGGATAGAGAGTTAGAAACATCGATGAGAGAGAAACATCGACCAGCTGCCTCCTGCGTACCCCTCACTGGGGATGTGCCCACAACCAAGGCACATGCCCTTGACGGGAATCGAACCCGGGACCCTTCAGTCCGCAGGCCGAGGCTCTTTTATATATATATAAAAGCAATGTATCCGTGCAAGCATACATTCACTGCCGCAGTTGTTCCAAACACACTAAAAAACATTCCAGCCCTGGCTGGTTTGGCTCAGTGGATACAGACAGCATCAGCCTGTGGACTGTAGGGTCCCGGGTTCGATTCCAGCCAAGGGCACAGGCCTGGGTTGCAGGCTGGATCCCTAGGAGGGGGCCTGCAGGAGGCAGCCGATCACTGATTCTCTCTCAGCATTGGAGTTTCTACCTCTCTCTCTCTCCCTTTCTCTCTGAAATTAATGAAAACGTGTAGTTAAAAAAAATAAAAATAAATGTCAGCCTCTTCCACGAAGCCCACCCTGACCAATTCTATTAAAATACAATACAATACAACGAAAACATGACCATGATACCGTGAGCACAGTAACAATTCCTAAGCATCACCTGCTACCCGGCTGGTGTGCCAGTCTCCCTGGCTGTCTCCCAACTGGGCTGAATTCTGAACAGTGGTTCTTTTTTTCCTTTTAATACATTTTTATTGATTTCTGGGAGGAAGGTAGAGGGAGAGAGAGACAGAAACATCAATGATGAGAGAATCATTGATCGGCTGCCTCCTGTCCTCCCCCGACTGGGGATCGAGCCGCAGCCCAGGCCTGTGCCCTTGACTGGAATCGAACCCGGGACCCTTCAGTCCGCAGGCCGGTGCTCTATCCACTGCGCCACACCGGCTGGGGCTAAACAACGGTTCTTGACCTCGTGGCAGGGACGGCAATTCCTAGGAGAACCTAAAGGCGGCGCTACCAGCCTCTCTCCCTAGACGGCCAGGCCAGGGGGCAGAGGCCTCGGCGGGAAAGGAACCAGGAGGGCTGATGGCACTGGAGGAACCGCAGACGCAAACAGGCTGAGAGCAGGAAGAGAGAATTCCCGGAGAGCAAATGCAAGCCTCTGAGGTTTATGGAGGCCTGGTGGTCAGGCCCTGTGCGGGGCATTTTACACAGTTACCTCCGCCAGGCTCCACCCCAGCCCCGTGGGTGCTCCGAACAAGGAAACGGAGGCACAGAGAGAACCCGGGCCGGCAGAGGGGGTCAGACAGCTGTGCAGGCCTGGCCTAGATCGCCAGGCGCCGTGCCGGACTCTGCAGGTAAGAGTGTGTGTGCCCGTGTGTGCCCGGCCCCTCCGCGTGGAGACCGGCCCTTCTCCTCCCGCGGAAAAGCCGCTCTGCTAAGGCCCCGAGCCGCCACCCTCAGTGCTTCACCCTCTGGGCTAGGAGCCCAGGCGGGGCGGCTGGACTCCTGACTGGGCGCTGGCACTGCCCGGCGCCTGGGGGGCAGGGAGCTCAGAGCTGGCACCATGGTATCAGGGAACCCCTCCTGCCACTTCCCACCTGCGGGGAGGTGTCATCGATGCCCTGATCACCCAGCCAATCAGAACATTTATCATAAAAGCACCAAACCCATAGAAACGGTCATCATATCCTTCAAACAGTTATGTCCCGGGCAGGTGCAAAGTGCTTCCACGTCTCCAGCCCTGGGCCCTCATGTCCGACTGGGGAGGTGGGCTCTCCCGTTTGTAGGTGAGAAAATAGCACTGACCTATGAACCACACTGTCAGGGCACAAGCCCCAACAGGGGGCAAGCAGGAAGTAGCCCATCACTGATTCTCATCATTGATGTTTCTCTCTCCCTCTCCCTCTCTGAAATCAATAAAACATATACATTAAAAAAAAAAAAAAGTTTGGTCGGCAAACTCATGAGTCCACAGACCCAAATACCAACAGGACAACGACTGGAATTTCTTTGGAGAGCCCAAGTTTTTTAAACTTCAACTTCTTCTAACCCCACTTCTTCAACATAGGCTCGCCCAGGCCGCGGTATTTTGTGGAAGAGCCACACTCAAGGGGCCAAAGAGTCGCATGTGGCTTGAGAGCAGAGGTTTGCCGACCACTGCCCTAGCCGGTTTGGCTCAGAGGATAGAGCGTCGGCCTTTGGACTCAAGGGTCCCGGGTTCAATTCCGGGCAAGGGCATGTACCTTGGTTGCGGGCACATCCCCAGTAGGGGGTGTGCAAGAGGCAGCTGATCGATGTTTCTCTCTCATCGATGTTTCTAACTCTCTATCCCTCTCCCTTCCTCTCTGTAAAAAATCAATAAAAAATATATCTTTAAAAAATAAAAACAAAAAGTCAGTGTGGAGGAACTGGAACCCTCACACAGGGAGAGTGGGGGTATAAAGTGGAGTACCCGCCTTGGAAAACTCTGGCGGTTCCTCAAAAGGTTAGACATAGAGTTACATTTGCTTCAGCAATTCCACTCCCAGTGTCCACAAAAAACACCTGTACACCAACGTTCACAGCAGCATCTTTCATAATAGCCCCAAAGTGGGAACCACCCAACTGTCCATCGATTCATAAACAGATAAACAAAATATGGTATAGCTCATGCAGAGGAACATTCAGCCAGAAGGAAGTACTGGTATAGGCTACAAGACAGAGGGACCTCGGAAACATTATGCTAAGTGAAAGGAGCCAGACGGAATCCTGCAAAATCCAGATGAGGTCAATCCATTCAGATAGAAAGTAGATTTGTGGTGGCCTGAGGCTGGGGAGGGAGTGTAAAATGGGGAGTGACAGCGAATGATGAAAATGTTCTAAAACTGATCATGCTGATGGTTTCACAATTCTGCAAATATACCAAAAATCACTGAATTGTACATTTTAAACGGGTGAACTATATGTTAGGTGAATTACCAATATAAGCCAATAAAGTTGGGTTCCAAAAAATATATATTTTATTGATTTTTTTTTTTTTTTTTTTTTTTTTTTTTACAGAGAGGAAGGGAGAGGGATAGAGTTAGAAACATCGCTGAGAGCCGGGACCGGTTTGGCTCAGTGGATGGAGCGTCAGCTTGTGGACTGAAAGGTCCCGGGTTCGATTCCAGGCAGGGGCATGTGCCTTGGTTGCGGGCGCATCCCCAGTGAGGGGTGTGCAGGAGGCAGCCGATTGATGTTTCTAGTTCTCTATCCCTTTCTCTTCCTCTCTGTGAAAAATCAATAAAAAAATATTTTTAAAAAAGAAAGAAACATCGATGAGAGAGAACCATCCATCAGCTGCCTCCTGCACACTCCCTACTGGGTATGTGCTGGCAACCAAGGTACATGCTCTTGACGGGGACTGGAATTGAACCTGGGACCCTTGAGTTCGAGCCAAACCGGTTAGGGCTGGGGTTTTTGTTTGTTTGTTTGCTGTTGTTGTTTTTTTTAAAAGGAGGCCAGCAGGATTTGAGTTTGGCCTGCTGACGCCTGGCATAACGGAATCGGTGAAATGAGGTGACAAAGAAGCAAGAAGACAAAACTCAGATGGCAGGATTATCAACAGAATAACCGACCCAGTTTCTTCCACGAATCAATTGCGCACACACACAAAAAATCAGAGTGGAGTGAAGGGGAGATTGCTCTAAGTTAGGAGAAACTTAGACACTGAGAGACGACTGTTTTATGGAAATTCTGTCCCGGCCTTCCTCCGGACCCTGAGACTCCAGCCCGCGGGAAGGAGGCCGCAGCGCTCCCACCCCTCCACCTCCTGGAACTCACCTCGCAGACGACTCCCGGCTCCTCCGTGGATGCTCCAACCGTGCCCCTACCCCGGAAAGGAGCGCTTGTTTTCCCTCTTAGCTCCACCCACTTCCGCGCCGGCGAAGGAAACCGGAAGTAAAGCTGCCCCTACTCGCGGAGGTTCCTCATCTGTCTTGGTAAGTCTTCCCTTTTTCTCTTGCTCCCACCGGAAACCTAAGTGTCAAGTCGAAGGTTCCGGTTAGAAAAGCTGGTTTAAATTACGGGGTGCGCTTGGTGCGCTTAGTATCTACGAGGCATTTCCCGGGCCGGGCGATTTCCTGCTTGTACCCAAAGCTTTGCGTCTCTCCAAGCCCGAGTTTAAGGACTAATCTCTTCCCCCAGACATTGGGAACCCACTTCTTAAATATATATCCACTTTTTTGTTATTGTAAATAAAGAGACCATTAAGAGGGGACAACGTCTCTGTCCCCATTTCTAAATGGAACAATAGAGGAATCGAAAGCCAGAGCCCTTCGCATCACCCCAGGAAACAGGAATTTATTACGGCATACTATTCACTTGCCCCTAGGGGACCAAGGCATGCAGTTCCTGCCAGTTTCTAGAAATATAGAAATCTGATATCTGGAGGCCTAGACGTTTAGTTCCCTAACTTGGCGGGGCTCACTCCCGCTGGGGAAGCAGGAGAGAAGCAGAGCAGGCGCCTATCCAGTTCCCTAAGTGTGGGGGTGTCTTAGGCCTTCCTATAGGGCCCTGGACCTTAGGCCCTTCAATATAAGGTCCCTTTAAATATTTTGTCCCTTACCTGAGTCCCGCCCAGGGCAGGTAGTCGCAAACCCCGCCCCTCTGCCAGAAACCGCGGCGGGGGAGGATTACAGAGAGCCGGAGCCAGCAGGGAAATCCCTCCTTTTTTCTTCCCTCCCCTCCCTCCTGCCCCTCTTCACAGCTGGCCTCAGCTGGCTGAGGAGGCCCCGAGATTGAGGAGGAGGGGTCAGTGCTCACAAGTCTGGGCAGGTAGGTGAATACCCCTGGAGGCAGGGCCTGGCTTGGGGACCTTGGCATTAGGCTCCTTGACCCTTGGGGGGCGGGGGGTCCCATAAATGTAGGGCCCTCCAAGCCCAGGAGTTCAGAGCTTCTTCCCCCACCTCCCCCTGGACTCAGGAATCCAGGGCCCTGTTCTTGCCCTCTTCCTGTAATCTTTGATCTCTGTGGCTGGATGTGGCAATGGGCATAGAGACAGAGGGATGCATGTGGAAATAAAAGGGAGGAAGGGATCCTGATGGCCAGTGGGCACGTTTAGGAGCGCTTACTGTGTGGCAAAGCTGTGCTGGGGCCGGCAAGCACCGAGGGGAAAAAGATGAGCTCCCTGCTCACGTCCTCGGAGGCGCGCTGCCTCTGCTGGAGTCCTGCTCCTGAATCTTGCAGACCGTATACCTTGGGCAAGTCCTGTGACCTCTGTTTCCTCACCTATAAAATGGGGATAATAACAGCACTATTGTGAACATTGAACTGTTATATAGGCAAACTGCCTTGAACAGAGTCTGGCCCCAAATACAGGCAAGGGCAGTATCTGCTATTATTATTATTATTATTATCATCATCATTATTATTATTATTCATGAGCCACAGCGTCCAGGCAGGGAGACCTTGCCTCTTTCCGGAGGGGCGGAAGCACTGGTCATCTATACCTAAGGTGACCAGACATCCCGCTTTTTAAAAATGTGTCCTTCCAAACATCGGGACTTTTTAAAAATGCCACCGGGTGCGGGACAAATTGTTAAAAATCGGGACCGTCCCGCCAAAAGCGGGACATCTGGTCACCTTATCTACACTCCCCCTCCCCCCGTTCCAGGTGGTCCGCAAAATATGAGGGGCAGGGGCCACCCCTCTCTGCTGCTGCTGTACCTGGGCTTGACCACCTGTCTGGACACCTCACCCAGCAGGGAGCAAGACCAAGGTGAGGTGCTTGGGGGGGAGACTCTGACGCCCACCTTCCCCGATCCTGGAACCATGGTGTCTGCCCGCCTCCTCCCCCAGGGCCCCCCAGCACTCCTTCCGCTCGGGTTCGGCTCCCTCCATGTCCCTAGTCCTCCATTTTGTCCTGTCCCTCCTGTTCTCTGGGCCCAGAGGTCTTCCTGGACCCCCCCGAGGCTCAGAGCTACCTGGACGGCCACCACCGGGTTCGCCGAGCCAACCACTGGGACCTGGAGCTCTTCACGCCCGGGAACCTGGAGCGGGAGTGCCTGGAGGAGAAGTGCTCCTGGGAGGAGGCCCGGGAGTACTTTGAGGACAATACTAAGACGGTGAGAGCCTGGGGGGGGGGCGCTCCAGGCCATCTTCTTCAGGCGGGGGGGAGGGGGGGGGCTGGTGCTCAACTCCCTCTTTCCCCCCTGGTCTCAAAAACCTGGGTGGCTGGTTGGGTGTGTAGGATCTGCCAGCTGACACCTTGTCTTCCCGCCTTCTGTACGCCCACCCCTTCCAGGAGCGCTTTTGGGAGACGTACATCCACAATGGCAAGGCAGGTGAGTGGGAGCCACACCCTCCGGTGCCGGCGGCTCAGGCACTCCCCGCCCAGATTCTGCCAGCCCTGGGTTCCTGGAGGTGGTTAAAAGCGTCCTCTCTCTCTCTGATTAATATATTTTTTAATATTTTATTGATTTTTCACAGAGAGGAAGGGAGAGGAACAGAGAGTTAGAAACATTGATGAGAGAGACATTGATCAGCTGCCTTCTGTACACCCCCCACTGGGGATGTGCCCACAACCAATGCACATGCCCCTGACCGGAATCGAACCTGGGACCTTTCAGTCCGCAGGCCGACTGAGCTAAACAGGTCAGGGCTGATTAATAGTTTTTAACTTTGGTTTTGAGAGAGAAATAGAAACATCAATTGGCCGCCTCCTGCACGGGGATCTGACCAGGAATCGAACCGGCAACCTCTTGGTTGCATGGGTCACTGCTCAACCACTGAGTCACACCAGCCGGGCAAAGCATCCTCTCTTTTGAGATGATAGGTGGGCCTGAGGGAACCCACCATACCTCGTGGCAAGAGGTCCCGTGCTCCCAGGAATCAGGAAGTGAGGGTGGAGGGAGGAATTGCAGCCCGGCGCCTGTCAGGCCTCAGGCTCCCAGCCGCTGGCCCACCTGGGAGAGCCCCAGCCCTTGTGCAGCGTGGTTGCTAGGGGGGGTTGTTCCCTAGCAACACATCCTGGTCAGGCCAGGCCATGGAAACCTGTGCATCCTCACCGGACCAGTCTGCCCACCCTCAAACCCTCCCCTCTGAGGCCCTGGCATGGCTGCAGCCTTGCTGCTAAGGGGGGGAGGGGCCGCTCCCTAGCAACGAGGCCCGGCCAGGCCGGACCCCGGAAGCCAGCCCGCCTGCCACCGCACTCACTACCTGGCTGGCTTCTCCTCCCCGCAGCCCATCCCAGCCTCTGTCTGGTTGCTAAGGAGGCCTTCTCCCTAGCAACCACACCTAGCCACACTCAGGCTTCAGGACCCTAGGCCTCCTGCCCACCGGAGGACCCCCCTTCCAGGCACCAGATGCCCCACCCCCTTGTGGCCTGGTTGCTAGGGGTGGATGTACCATAGCAACAGGCCCTAGGTCTGGGCAGGAGCCTTCACATTGGAGACGGGTTGCTAGGGGGAGGTAACAGCGTTGCTACAGGCGGATGATGCCTGGTTACTGCTTGAATCCACCTCAAACGTGTCCGAGGGCCTGCCTTCTCAGGGCAGCTTTTTGTCAAGAGGGCCAAGAGCCGGGGTTTGCTGTTTGAGGGGAGCACCTCCCTGCTCCCCCCGCCCCCAGCCCCCCAAGTGCTGAAGATGGACTCCCCAGCAGCAAGACCTAGCAGAGCCTCGGGAAGCTGGAGTCCGCCCTGCACACCCTCCCCTCCCCTCCCCTCCTCTCCCCTTCTCTCCCCTCCCCTCCCCTCCCCTCCCCTCCCCTCCCCTCCCCTCCCTTCCCCCACACACTTTCCGTAGACGCAGGCCTCGGTGGGCTAAGGGGGCTGCAGCTTAGGGAAGGGGCCATCTGCTACTGGAGGAAGGTCTCGAAATTCCTCCACTGATAAGTGAAACAATTTTTAATTGATTTCAGAGAGGAAGGGAGGGGGGAGAGAGAGAGAGAAGCATCCATGATGAGAGAGAGAGAGAGAGAAAGTCATGGAGCGGCTGCCTCCTCACGCTCCACACTGGGGATGGAGCCCGCAACCCGGGCCTGTGCCCTGGATGGGAATCGAACCTGGGACCCTTCAGTCCGCAGGCCAAGGCTCTGTCCACTGAGCCACACCAGCTGAGGCGGTAAATGAATTTTTTCTAGCCTTCTGGTAAATCCTAAAGCTTTCCTGTGGGTTCTGCAATTCCCCCAGAGTGGAGAGCTCGCCCCTCTGTAAAAGGGGCTGCATTCCAGAGGGGGGCAGGGTTGCCAGATTAAATACAAGAACTACCCCCACCCTCTTTCTGAGTTACCGTATTTTTCGGACCATAAGACGCTCCGGACCATAAGACGCACCAGTTTTTAGAGAAGGGAAATGAAGAAAAAAAGATTCTGAAACAAATAGTGTCCTAAAATATTTTATGTGCATTAAAACCCAACATCACAGTCATAAACACATGTAATCAACCCTGTAAAGTAAACAGCAGCATTTAGAACCATTTTAGAGCCGGGCAAGCACACAGAGACCACACAGAGCCGGGCAAGTAAAAAAACTTTTTTTTTAAGTATATGTGTAGGCTATATTTGGACCATAAGACGCAGGGACTTTTTCCCCCCACTTCTGGGGGAAAAAAAGTGTGTCTTATGGTCCGAAAAATACGGTAAATTTCAAACACACATGAATCTTTTTTTTTTTTTTTTTTTTTTTTTAGTATAAGTATGTCCCCACTTAATAGATGGGATATATCTGTATTTAAAAAATACTTGCTGTGTATGTAAAGTTTTGTGGGGTGTCCTATATTATTATTTGTTAAATCTGGCAGTGTTCAGGTCGGGGGGGGGGGCTGGGGCCTTGAGAGCTGGCCACCTGACCTCCCTACCTTACCTGAGATCTTAGGATCTTAGCAGATGGATTGCTTAGGACGACGGTCTTGAACCACCCTCCAGGGAGGGGCTTCTGTGGTCAGGGGGAGACAGCTGCCATGTTTCCTAGTGCCCGTTGAAGGTATCGTAGGTCCTCTACGCATTTAATCTCATTGGATGTTTGCAGCCTGTCAGAGCGGGACGATGGTCCCATTTCAGAGCGGGGAACGGGGGCCAGAGCAATGAGCCAGGTCAGCCAGCTGGGAAGTGGCCCCAGCTCTGCCCGGCTTCCTGGCCGGTGTTCCTCCCTCCGGAGAAAGGCTTTGGATGTTGGGGTGTGTGGGGTGGCAGCCCCTGGGCAGTGGCTCCCTCTCCCCCCTCTCCCCGTCCCCCTCCACAGGGCGTGTACGAGTGGACGTAGCAGGCCTGGTTGTGGGGCTGACGTCTGGCATCCTGGTCATTGTGCTGGCCGGCCTGGCAGCCTTTTGGTACCTACACTGGCGACGTGGCAGAAGCCAGCTACCCAGCCCTCAAGAGTAAGGGGACTTGGGGGGGGAGGGGAGAGGGGGGGAGAGAAGGGTGAGCAGGGCGGGAGGACGGGCCAGCCGAAGGAGATGGGCCAAGGGTTGGGGACTGGTGGCCGCTGCTGAGAGGTCTCAGGAGACAGCCCTGAGGAGAGAGAGTCTGTGAGGTGTGTCCGGTTGTGGCGTGTCTGTCTGTCTGTGTCCTCAGTACCTGGCACACAGTAGGAGCTCCATCAGCACTGACCGCCCGTCTTTTTTTTTTAAACATATTTTATTGACTTTTTACAGAGAGGAAGAGAGAGGGATAGAGAGTTAGAAACATCCACGAGAGAGAAACATCGACCAGCTGCCTCCTGCACACCCCCTCCTGGGGATGTGCCCGCAACCAAGGTACATGCCCTTGACAGGAATCGAACCTGGGACCCTTCAGTCCGCAGGCCGATGCTCTATCCACTGAGCCACACCGGTTTCGGCTACCTCCCGTCTTTGCAGTACTGGGTGTCGTTGTGGTTATCAGTGTGCGACTCTTGTCTCTGGCAGAGCAGCAGCCTGTGGGCGTCGGTGGTATGTCAGTTTCCGTGCTGCAGGGTGCAGCGAATGTTTGTGTGCGGGCGCCTGTAGGAGCTGTCTAGGTGTGTCTTTCTCGGTGGCGGTGGCGTCAGTCTGGGAAGGATGGTGGGTCGGGGGATTGTCAGGAGTTTATTGTCAGTGGGTGGTGTCTCCGTGCTGTGTCTGTCTCTGTGTGTGTCCACCTGCCTCCAAAGGCTGTCGTCTTTTTCCCCCCTTTCTCTGCCTGTCCCTGTGTGTCTGTGAACGAGTCTCTCTCTCTGGGCAGTTGTTTTCTGGGTCTGCCAGTCCCTGTGCCTCTGCCTGTCCTTTTGAGGTGCCTTTCTGCGCGTGTGAGATTGAAGGTGACCCTCTTTCTTTCTTTCCTGGCTCCTCACTCCCTTCCACATGTCCCCCTCCCAGCCCCAGTCTCTGGGTCCCTAAGTCCTCCCTCCTTCTCCCTAGGAGTCTTCCTATATCCCTAGGTTTCCCCCTGCTCACGGTGCTCCTTCTGTTCCCAGGGCCGACCTCATCAGCCCTCTGAGCCCCCTCAGCTCTGCGGGCTCGCCCACGCCCCTGCCGCCGCCGCCCCAGCCGCCGGGCCTCCCCACCTACGAGCAGGCCTTAGCGGCCTCCGGGGTGCACGACGCACCTCCGCCGCCCTACTCCAGGTGCGGGGGCGGAGCCATGGGCGTGGTCTGGCGGGGCGGGGCGTGGGTGGGGCGGGGCTTGGAGCTCATTATTCCGGGCCGGGTTTCGGCGCGGGGGGCGTGGCCCAGCCCGAGGGCGGAGCTTCCGAAGGGGTGGGCCTTGTGCCCAGAGGGCCTGGGATTGGCTGGGGCGCCCGGAGCGGTTCGCGAAGGTCTGGGTTGGCGAGGAAGAGGGCGGGGGGTGGAGGGTGGAGGGCGGAGGGGGGCGGAAAAACAGCCGGGTCTTTGACTCCCCACGGCGCCCCTCCCCACGCAGCCTCCAGAGGCCTCGGTGAAGGAGCTGCTTCGGAGCCGAGCCGGCTTCCCCGAACCATGCCCCAGATTCACACCGGATTCCGGAAGCTCTCCGAAGACTCTGAAAAAAAAACTGCGGAGCTGAACTTGGGGGGACGGGGGGTGCCGCGGGTAGGGGTCGTCCGGTTCGAGGCCTACCCTGCCTGGCACACGTGTTTCCGCCGCGTACGCTGGACTCACGTCTTCGCGAAAGTGTTCCCGCGCCCCGGCACCCCGCGGGCTCCGACGCGTTCTTGACCTTGTGGGGGGGGGCGCCGTCATCCCCGCCCCCGGGGGCAGGCTCGGAGCCAGGCACGCAGGCCGAGTGTGCAGACTCGCGTGTGAGGTTGGACACGGCCACCTCCCTCCAGGGACACGGGACACACACACGCACACACAGGCCCCGCCCGTGCACACGCGTGTCTCCATGCGCTCCCCGCGCGCGCACAGGGGCCCTTTGCAACCCGGGGGGACAGGGGGGGGGCATATTTGCAACCTTACTCATCAGGGGCAGGCTCTTCCCCCTCAATAAAAGCTCTTTGGAAAAGACATACACACACACACACAAAGTGAAAAAATGCACACAAAAAATGGAAATAAACGGAATCGCGACCCCAGGCGCGTCTGCGCGCAGTGGAGCTGGTTGTCTGTGCCCGTGTTGCGCCCTCCACCCCCAAGCCCGGCCTGCGCTGTCTCTCGTTCACCCTCTCCCTCTCTCTCTCTCTCTCTCTCTCTCTCTCTCTCTCTTTTTTTTTTTTTTTTGCATTTGCACGGGATTGTGGGAGGAAGCGGAGAACAGCCAGACACCCCGCCGCCCGCCCCCCTCCCCTCCCCCCTCCCCCAGCCGCCTTGTGCAAAGATGGCTGCACCGTGAGCGCCGCGGAGGAGGCGGCGGCGGCGGCGGCGGCGAGCGAGCGAGCACCCAGCGCCCGCACCCACCCCGGGGCCGCCCGGGACGCCCCCTCCCGAGCGGCGCGCCCCCCCTTCTCTCTCTTGCAAGCGCCGGGGCAAAGGCGGAGACAGCGGGGTCCCTCCCCCCCTTTCCCTCCAGGGGGAACCCCCTTCCCCCCTCCTTGGCTCGGCGGCTGCACCCCCTCCCTTGTCCGCCCCTCCGCCCCGTCCCCTCCCTCCCCTGCCCGGGCCCTTCCCGGGCCTTCGGCGGCGGCAGCAAAGGAAAAAAGAGAGAGAGAGGGAGGGAGCGAGAGGGAGAGGGAGCGAAGGGGGGAACGGCGGCAGCAGCGGAGGGAGCGGCGGCGGAGGAGAGCGCGCGCGCCCCCTCCCTCCCTCCCGCCCCCTCCCCCTCCCCCCAATCTCCACCGCGGCCAATTCATGGACAGGAACTACCCCAGCGCCGGCTTCGGGGACCCGCTCGGCGCCGGGGCGGGATGGAGTTACGAGAGGTCAGCTAAAGCCAGGTAAGGAGCCGGGGGCGGCCCGGGGGAGGGGGCCCGGGGGCGGGGGCCGCGCGGAGCCGGGATCGGCCCGTCCGGCCCGGCCCAGCCCGGCCCGGCCCGCCCGGTGACGCGTGCATCGCGAACTCCCCTCCGGCTTGCAAGGGAGCGGCCTTCCTCGGTTTGCAACGCCGCCGTCGCCGCCCCAGTTTGCAAATTGCAAACTCCGCCGCCAAAGCCAGCTCCGGCGTGCAAGGGGAGGGATGCAGCGGGTGTGTGCGTGTGTGTGTGTGTGTGTGTGTGTGTGTGTGTGGAAGTGGGGCTGCAAAACAATTTCGGACGGGAAAGGCCTTGGGAAAATGGGAGGGACTGGCGAGGCCAGGCCTGGATTTCCCCCCATCCTCGGATTCCCGGCTCGCCGACCCCTCCCCCCCGCACCCCAGGCTTCTGCGCTTGCAAAGGTGGCGAGGGAAGGGGAATCGGAACGTGCATCTGGGGGGCGCGCCCCCTCCCAGGTCCCATTGTTCCGGGACTTGCTCGAGGCCGCGCCACTCGGGCCTCACCCCCCCCCCCGAAATTCCGCGCGCAGAGTGGGCCCGGCCCCGCCCCCTTCCGAAGCTGGGGTTCCGCGTGTGTAAGGCGGGGGCGGGGGGGCTGCTCCTGGTATCTGAGACACGCCCCCTTTCACCCCCCCCCCCCAGGCAGGGAATCCTGTTTGATGGCCAGGAGTGGAGTGTTTGACCTCTTTGAGTCTGGGCCACGGATTGGGGCCCCGGGGTTTTGTGCATTATTGCCTGGGAGGATTGGGGTGTGTGGTTGTGTGTGTTGGTGTGTGTGTGTGTGGCCGGCAGTCTGTGGGCCTTCGCCTCTGCCCCTTCCCTGCTGTTTGTTTGTGTCGCGCCCTCACTCCTCACCTGCCCTGAGCCACCTCCCTCCCCCACACACCTGGGCTTCCCAGCATGGCTGGGCATGACCACACGTGTGTTCCATGTGGGGCTCTTCCCTCTGTATCTACCCATCCTTCCCCCCATCCCCCCCCCCTCCGGAGTTGGATACTCTTTGCAACACATACTTGGCTTTGCGTGGTTCCATGCATTTGAACCTCAGCCCGAAGGGGGGCTGGGCGGTGTTCACGGTCGCACTTGAACCTGGTCCTTTATTATCCCCTTCCCCTCATCCCGCATCCCTCCCATTGGGAGAACGGCCTGCCTCCTGCTCCTGACTGGCTCTGCACCAGTCCTGGAGGTCCGGGGCCTGTGTGTCCCCACGTGTCTGCAGGAGCAGGGTGTGTGTGTGTGTGTGTGTGTGTGTGTGTGTGTGCGCAGCCTTGGGGTTGGCCCCAGGTTTTGTGTCACCAACTGGGTGCCCTCCCTCCCATGTAGCCCCTCCATTTTCAACTCGAGGCACTTTCTCTGACTCCACCCTCTCAGGGTTTGTCTCAACCTGGTGCATGTCTCTGTTTGTAAACGGGAGGCTATAGGGGCCCTATTTGCTGGAACTCGGGGTTCCTACTGCTGCCGGGGCTCGAGTGGGGACCATTTCTATGGCTCTTTCGTTGGGCACCCCATTCCCTCAGGGCCCAAGTTCCTTAAAAATATCCCCCTCCCCAGTTCAGCTGGAATATTCTCCCCCAGCTCCCCGAGGGATTTGCTGAATTCCCTTCTCCGAGGTCAGCTTAGGAGGTTACCCTAACGTCTCCCCCTCCCCACCCTCCGCCCCAGCTTGGTCTATGGCAGCTCCCGGACCTCGCACCCCGAGACGGACATCTTACATCGCCAGGCCTACGGGGCCCCCCACCCACTGCAAAGCTATGCCACCAACCACCACCCTGCAGGTACGGGGACACCCCCCCATCCCGCTCCCACTGAGTCCTCCCCTCCCTCCGAGGCAGCTGATTGGCTGGGGCAAGCCCCGCCCCATTCTCATTGGCCTTGCCCCTGGCTTTCGGCCCGCCCACGTCTGTCCTTCCTCTGATTGGTTGGCCTGGAGCAGCTCAATTTCACGCCGGATTGGTCCGCCTCTGCTCCTGGCCCCGCCCTCTTCCCCTCCCATTGGTCCCATCCCCACAGCCCCCACATCCCACCTTCTCTTCCTGCCTTTTCCTTGTCTCCAGTCCAGCCAATCGCTTCCTTCTGGGTTTTACCTGATCTCTCTGCTCCGGGTTCCTCTGAACTCTTCCCTTCTGATCGCCGTTCTTCCTGATTGGCAGTGATTCTTTGGACAGCCTCCTTCCCCCCTTAGATTGGCCCTTTCCTTATCCTCCCCCGTGGCTCTGCCTCTAAGGCTTCTGATTGGTCCATTTTTATTATTTATTTTTATCCTACTGCCCTCCCTGGATGGGCCAGCAATGAGACTGGGGAGTCCCATTTGATCGTGACCTTCCTGGTTGGCTCTGTTTTTCCTTCCCCTATTATTTGTTTTTCTGGATCCTTCTCACTTTGACTCGGCCCCTTTTCATGTGTCCTCTTAGTCCGACTGCATAGCTCAGGCCAGGCCATGCCTTGTCCTTGCTGGAATTGCCCAGATTCTTTAGCCTCACCCTCTGCCTCCAATCCTAGCAACTCCCTGCCCGCTGGCTCTCTCACTTCCTTCCCTTCCGGATTTTTCTATTCCTTTGCCTACCTTTCTCTTCTTGGGCTCCCTGCCCTGTGACCGCATTGCACCCCATCCTGCTTCCCCTTTCCACCCTGCCCTGTCCCCGGCCTCGCTGACACTCTGTCCCCTGTTCCTGGCCAGGCCTCTCTGGACTCTTTGACACTGGCCTCCACCACGCAGGCTCCGCAGGGCCCGACGCCTCCGTCATGAACCTCATCTCGGCCCTGGAGTCCCGGGGCCCCCAGCCAGGCCCCTCTGCCTCCTCTCTCCTCTCCCAGTTCCGGAGTCCTTCCTGGCAAACAGGTAAGCCCGCTGCTGCCGGCTTCACAGAGAGGGCCGGGGTGGGGCCGGCTTGTGGTCCACCCTGACCCGCGGTCTCCTCCTCCGTCATCCCCAGCCATGCACACGCCGGGCCCCACGGAGCTCTTCATCTCGGGCGCCCTGCCGGGTTCCAGCACCTTCCCGTCCTCCTCGGCCCTGTCGGCCTACCAGCACCCGGCTTCCTTCGGCAGCCGCCCCTTCCCCGTGCCCTCGTCCCTCAGCCTCCAGGACCCCCCGTTCAGCCCGCCCGCCAACGGGCTCCTGTCCCCCCACGACGTGCTGCACCTGAAGCCCTCGCAGGCGCCCACGGTGCCCTCCTCGCTAGGCTTTGAGCGCCTGGCGGGGGGCGGTGTCTTGGGGCCCGCCGGTCTCGGCCCGGCCCAGACCCCCCCTTACCGCCCCGGCCCCCCAGACCCGCCGCCCCCTCCCCGGCACCTCCCGACCCAGTTCAACCTGCTGGCTTCCTCCTCGGCCGCCGCGGCCGCCGCCGCCGAGCAGTCCTCCCCGCAGCTCTACAACTTCTCGGGCGCCACCCCGGGGCCCCCCGAGCGGGCCCTGCCCCGCCAGGACACGGTCATCAAGCACTACCAGCGGCCGGCCAGCGGCCAGCCCCCGCCGCCCCCGCCGTCCGCCCACGCCCTCCAGCACTACCTGAGCTGCGGGGGCAGCTACTCCTCCATGGGCCACCGGGCCAACCTGGCCTGCAGCCCCCTGGGCGCCGGCGAGCCCTCCCCGGGCGCCGGGGAGCCCAGCAAGGCCGGGCCCAGCGGGGCCGGGGCCGGGGCGTCGGGCAGGGCCGCGGGCCCCGAGGCGGCCGGAGGAGGGGCGGCGGGGGGCGGCGCTGGAGGGTACCGCCCCATCATCCAGTCCCCCGGCTATAAGACGGGCAAAGGCGGCTACGGGGCAGCCTCGGGGGCTGCCAGCAGGCCCCCGCCGCCCCGTTCGACGGCCACCCCCAAGTGCCAGAGCCTGGGGGGCCCGGCCTATGCCACCGGGAAGTCCTCTGGGGCTGGCGGGGCGGGAGGCCAGGCCTATTCCCCCGGCCAGCCCCAGGGGCTTCTCGGACCCCAGGCCTACGGGCAAGGGTTTGGAGGGGGTCAAGCCCAGGACTTGAGCAAAGGCCCTAGCTACTCGGGGGGCCCCCCTCAGCCCCCGAGCGGCCCCCAGCCTCCGGGCCTGGCCACGTGTCAGAGCTACTCCCCCGACCAGCTGCAGGGGCAGCTGTACGGGGTGCAGGGGGAGCCGTACCCGGGCCCGGCCGCCCACTCCCAGGGGCTGCCCACCGCCAGCCCCTCCCTCAGCTACAGCACCGGCCACTCCCCGGCGCTGTCGGGCCACGGCGGCGGCTGGGGCCCCGGCTCCCTGGGCGGCGGCGGCGAGGCCAGCCCGTCCCACATCATCCGGCCGCTGCAGTCGCCGCCGGCCTCCTCCGGGCGCCCGCCGGGGGTCGGCTCTCCGGGGGCCCCCGGCAAGTACCTGAGCTCCGTCCTGGCCTCGGCCTCGTTCCTGGCGCCCCCGGGAGCCGGCAGCTACGCGGCGGCCGGGGCGGGCGGCTACAAAGGCAAGGGGGACGGCTCCGAGCTGCTGGCGGGCCCCGGGGGCCCGCCCGCCGAGCGCACCGAGGACGAGGAGTTCCTCATCCAGCACCTCCTGCAGGCGCCCAGCCCGCCGAGGACCTCAGGGGCCGACGGCCTGGTGGGCGAGGACGGGGCGGCCGACGCCTCCAAAGGACTCGGGGGCAGTGGCGGGGCCGGGGGTCCCCCGGGCGCGCCCTACGAGCTGGCCAAGGAGGACCCCCAGAGGTACCACCTGCAGAGCGTCATCCGCACCAGCGCCAGCCTGGACGAGGGCGCCACGGCGGCCCTGGAGCTGGGCCTGGGGCGGCTGAAGGAGAAGAAGAAGGGGCCGGAGCGGGGCGGGGAGACCCCCGAGGGGCTGGCCACCTCGGTCGTCCACTACGGGGCCGGCGCCAAGGAGCTGGGGGCGTTTCTCCAGAAGAGCCCGCCGCCCCCGCCCCCGACGGCCCAGCCCGCCCCGCCCACCCCGCACGGCCTCCTCCTGGAGGCGGGAGGCCCCGACCTCCCCCTGGTGCTGCCGCCGCCTCCCCCGCAGCTGCTCCCGTCCGTCCTCAGCCACACCCCCAGCCCGTCCTCCAGCACCCCCAAAGTCGGAGTCCACCTCCTCGAACCGGCCGCCCGGGACGGGCCGCCCCAGCCGCCCCCGCCGCCGCCCCCTCCGCCGCCCATGCCTCTGCAGCTCGAGGCTCATCTGCGCAGCCACGGGCTGGAGCCCGGCGCGCCCAGCCCCCGCCTGCGGCCGGAGGAGGGCCTGGAGCCGCCGGGGACCATGCAGGAGCTGCTGGGGGCCCTGGAGCCGCTGCCCCCCGGGCCCGGGGACGCGGGCGTGGGCCCGCCCAGCGGCGAGGGCAAGGACCCGGCGGGCGCCTACCGCAGCCCCAGCCCGCAGGGCCCCAAGGCGCCGCGCTTCGTGCCGCTCACCTCCATCTGCTTCCCGGACTCGCTGCTGCAGGACGAGGAGCGCAGCTTCTTCCCCACCATGGAGGAGATGTTCGGCGGGGGCGCCGCCGACGACTACGGCAAGGCCGGGCCCCCCGAGGACGAGGGGGACCCCAAGGCGGGCGCCGGGCCCCCGCCGGGCCCCCCGGCCTACGACCCCTACGGGCCCTACTGCCCCGGCCGGGCGTCCGGAGCCGGACCCGAGGCGCCGGGCCTGGGCCTGGACCACGGCAAGCCGCCCGAGCTGCCGTCCACGGTCAACGCCGAGCCGCTCGGCCTGATCCAGAGCGGCCCCCACCAGGGGGCGCCCCCGCCGCCGCCGCCGCCGCCGCCCGAGCCCAAGGGCGGCCTGACCTCGCCCATCTTCTGCTCCACGAAGCCAAAGAAGCTGCTCAAGACGTCCTCCTTCCACCTGCTGCGGCGGCGCGACCCGCCCTTCCAGACGCCCAAGAAGCTGTACGCCCAGGAGTACGAGTTCGAGGCCGACGAGGACAAGGCCGACGTGCCGGCTGACATCCGCCTCAACCCCCGGCGGCTGCCCGACCTGGTGTCCAGCTGCCGCTCCCGCCCGGCCCTGTCGCCGCTGGGGGACATCGACTTCTGCCCGCCCAACCCCGGCCCCGACGGGCCCCGGCGCCGCGGCCGCAGGCCCACCAAGGCCAAGCGCGACGGCCCGCCCCGGCCCCGCGGGAGGCCCCGCATCCGCCCGCTGGAGGCGCCGGCCGCCCCGGGGCCGGCCCTGTCCTCCGCGCCCGCCGACGGCGCCAAGAAGCCCCGCGGCCGGGGCCGCGGCCGGGGCAGGAAGGCCGAGGAAGCGGGGGCCCCCCGGCTGGAGCCGCTGAAGCCGCTGAAGGTGAGGGCGCGCAGCACCTGAATCGTAGCGGAAGGAAGTCCTGGAGGGTGACTAGGGATATGGGTTTCTATTTCTTTTTTATATTTTCATCTTTTAAAATATTTTTTACTGGTTTTTAAAAATACATTTTATTGATTTTTTTACAGAGAGGAAGGGAGAGGGATAGAGAGTTAGAAACATGGATGAGAGAGAAACATCAATCAGCTGCCTCTTGCACGCCCCCTACTGGGGATGCGCCCGTAACTAAGGTACATGCCGTTGACCGGAATCGAACCTGGGACCTTTCAGTCCGCAGGCCGACGCTCTATCCACTGAGCCACACCGGTCCTGGCTCTTTCTTTTTTATATTCTTATTTTTAAAAATATTTTTACTGGGTTTTTTTGTTTGTTTTTCTAGGGAAGGGAAGGGAGAGGGATGGAGAGAGAGAGAAAGACAGAGAAACACGGATGATAAATATCATTGATTGGCCGTGTCCTGCATGTCTCCCGCTGGGGATCGAGCGTGCCTCCTGGGCATGTGCATCAGGCCAGTGATCTCTTGGTTCCTGGCTCAAAACCCAACCACTGAGCCACACTGGCTCCGCTGGTTTATATTTCTAAAACCTGCGAGGGGATGACTCTAATTGGGCCGAAATGCCAGGACTGCGATCGGAGAACCGACACTCGGGTTCTAGAGGGAGCTGAGAGGTTGGCGCTTGGGTTCTTCTTCATGGCGGATCCTAGATGCCTGGGCCTGGGGGGGAGGGGGGAGGTGCGGAGCCCTGGGCCCCCTGCCTGGGCGAGGAGAGGCCAGTGAGTAATAAAAGGATGGAACCGAGTCCTGTCGTTCTGCAATCCCAGGGCGGCCGCGGACTTGAACTCAAGGACTCCGTGGGCCGCGTCTGGGGACTTCCACGTCGGAGTCTGACATCGGGAGGGCGCTGGGTTCTGGACGCCTGGGTCTGAGGGAGGAGAGAGGGGACTTGGGGCTCGACTCTCGGGCCCTGACCCCCCTTCCCTTCCCCCCCCACTGCTCCCGTATTTAGATCAAGCTGTCCGTGCCCAAGGCTGGTGAGGGTCTGGGGGCCCCGTCGGGGGACGCCCTGCCGGGCGCCGACCACAACAGCCTGGACTCGAGCCTGACGCGGGAGAAGATCGAGGCTAAGATCAAGGAGGTGGAGGAGAAGCAGCCGGAGATGAAGTCCGGCTTCATGGCCTCCTTCCTGGACTTCCTCAAGTCCGGCAAGCGCCACCCGCCGCTGTACCAGGCCAGCATGACCCCGCCGCTCAGCCCCCCGAAGGGCGGGCCGCCCCCCGGGCCCCGGGGCCTGCAGCCGCCGCCCCCCGCCGGCCCCGCCGTGCCGCACCCGCCCGCGGGCGCCTTCGGGCTGGGGGGCGCCCTGGAGGCGGCCGAGAGCGAGGGGCTGGGGCTGGGCTGCCCCTCACCCTGCAAGCGGCTGGACGAGGAGCTGAAGCGCAATCTGGAGACGCTGCCCTCCTTCTCCTCGGACGAGGAGGACTCCGTGGCCAAGAACCGGGACCTGCAGGAGAGCATCTCCTCGGCCATCTCCGCCCTGGACGACCCGCCCCTCGTGGGGCCCAAGGACTCCTCCCCTCCGGACGGGCTCCCCTTGGCGACCGAGGCTCCTGTCCCGGGGCCGCCCCCTCTCCCCGGGCTCCCCTGTGCCAGCAGCAATGGCACGCCTGGTGAGCTGGGAAAGAGGGACTGGCTGTCTGTGAGGGATGCTGGGAACCATTCAGTGGAAGGGACGCTGGGTGAGGGGGCGTAGATTTGCCTATCTATGGCGGGAGCGCTGCTGAGGGCACACAGGTGTTTTGAGAAAGGGGTGTGTTTTTTCCTAATCTGCCCGCAGGTGCTAAGTGGACGGGCAGGGGCCCCGAGGTGGGCACTGGAGAATGCTTGGGGACAGGGCAGGTTCTAAGTGATGAGGGCAGCTACCTGGTCAGGGGGTACCCGGTGAGCTTTTTATTTTTAATTTTTTAAATATATTTTATTGGTATTTTACAGAGAGGAAGGGAGAGAGATAGAGAGCTAGAAACGTCGATGAGAGAGAAACATCCACCAGCTGCCTCCTGCACTCCCCCTACTGGGGATGTGCCCGCAACCAAGGTACATGCCCCTGACCGGAATCGAACCTGGGACCCCTCAGTCCGTAGACCGACGCTCTACCACTGAGCCAAACCGGTTTTGGCTCGGTGAGCTTTTTAAACTGGCAGGGGATCCGGTCCCTGAGAAGTGTTCTGGGAGTGAGTGATGAGTGCTAAAGAGCAGGGAGATTTCGGGGGGCTGAGAGAAGGCTTAGGGAGGGTAGTGTGTGTGTATGTATGTATATATATATATATATATATATATATATACACACACACATATATATATATGTGTGTGGGTGTGTGTGTGTGTTTTAAATATATTTTATTGATTTTTTTACACAGAGGAAGTGAGAGGGAAAGAGAAACATCAATGAGAGAGAATCATTGATCAGCTGCCTCTTGCACACCCCCCAATGGGGATGTGCCCGCAACCAAGGTACATGCCCTTGACCGGAATCAAATCTGGGACCCTTCAGTCCACAGGTGGACACTCTATCCACTGAGCCAAATCGGTTTTGGCTATTTTTATATTTTTTAATATATTATTGATTTCAGAGAGGAAGGGAGAGGGACAGAGGAAGAGAAACATCAATGATGAGAAAGAATCATTGATTGGCTGCCTCCTGCACGCCCCACACTGGGGACTGAGCCCAAAACCCAGGCATGTGCCTTGGCTGGAATCAAACCCGGGACCCTTCGGTCCACAGGCTGATGCTCTATCCATTGAGCCAAACCAGCTAGGGAGGGTGGTTTAAAAAGAGACCGGAACGCTGACTGGCCTTGTGGAAGGCAAGCGGGGCAGGCGGTGGGTATGGCGAGTCTGTAGGGGGCTCTGATCTGAGGGTAGCAGGTGTTGGGGTTTGGGTGTGGAGCAGGGCATTTGGGGCAGTTAATGAGGGGGCCTGAGGGCTCGGAGAGGGATGTTACAGAGACCCATTAGGAGTTAGCACGGAGGAGGAGGGCATCGGTTATTCTGAGAATGGAGGCTGACGTGGGTGGAGGAGGATGGGACCTCGGAGCAGGACAGAGGTTTGGTTTCAGAATTGGGAAGACCAAGGAGGCACTGGGGTTGGAGCCAGGCGAGGGCGTCGGGGCCACCAAGCCACGTTCAGGACTAAAATGGGCATTGGGGTGGGCGCTGGGCATGGGCCTCGGGGGCCTGGGCGGCAATAGAGGCAGAGGGCTCGTCACGGGAAGGGACGTGCATGTTTAGGGACGAGAGGTTCCGGGGTGGAGATGGCATTTGGAAACGGGCAGATCAGAGCAAGGGATTTCGAAGGGACTGGGCCGGGGAGCAGGGGAGAGATGGCCAGAGTGGGGGACAGTTGGTGAGGACAGAGCTTTAACAGCATAGAAGACTCCTGACCATGATGGGGGGCGTGGGTGGGACTGAGCAATGGTGTTGGGATACAGAGCACAGAGACGGGGTCTTTGGAGGCTGGGAAACAGCAAGGACCGTCCGGGTGGGAGGACCGAGGAGGACATTGGAGAGAGAGGTCACAGGGACCCGGGCTTCCTGCGGGTGGGTGTCTGTGGAGGTGCGGATTGACGGTCAGGAAGGTGACTGGACAGGTTAGGAGAGCAGGTGACCAGACGCCCATCCTGCTTTCTAACAATTTGTCCTGCAGCGTTTTTAAAAAAAGCGGTTCGTCTGGTCACCTTAGGTTAGAAGAGCAGGTCAGATGGGAGCCTTGGAGGGGCCAGGGCGGAAGAGTAACAAGAAAAAAAGAGAAGAAAAGAAACGGAGGTGAAGGGTGGGTGGGGGGCAGGGGTAGCCGTGTGGGAGCTGGGGAGCTCCGTGTCATCAGGAGGGATGTCTGGGTGGGGGGTGGGGTGGGGATGGGGTGGGGGTGGGGTGGGGTGGGGGTGGGAGCTGAGGAACTGTCTCATCAGGAGGGATGTCTGGGTGCGGGGTGGGGGTGGGGTGGGGTGGGGGAGGGGGGGGGGGGGGGGGGGGGTGGGGGTGGGGATGGGGTGGGTGCGGGGTGGGGTGGGGGTGGGGGTGGGGATGGGGTGGGGTGGGGGGCGATTGGCGCCCTAGAGGAGACTGGGCGGAGCTGGGGGCACCGCTCAGACAGCAGACACCTTGATGGGAAGCAGGCTGGAGCTCAGAGGTGGGGAGGAGGGAAGGGGGCCCCTGGGGGTGCAGCCCTGATGCTCCTCTCGCCCCCAGAGCCCCCGCTGCTGGAGGAGAAGCCGCCGCCCTCTCCGCCGCCCGCCCCAACGCCCCAGCCGCCGCCCCCGCCGCCGGCCCTGCCCTCGCCTCCCCCATTGGTGGCTCCGGCTCCGGTTCCAGCTCCGGTTCCAGCTCCTCCGGCTCCGGCTCCGGCTCCATCACCGGCTCCCATGCCCGCTCCGGCTCCGGCTCCGGCTCCGGCTCCGGCTCCAGGGCCTCTGGCTCCCGCTCCCGCCCCGGCCCCGGCCCCGGCCCCGGCCCCGGCCCCGGCCCCCGCACCCAGCTCGCCTCATCCGCCGCCGCCTCCGCCGCCGCCCGCCCTGCCCTCGCCCCCCGCCCCGCCGCCCCCGGCCGCCCCGCCCGAGGAGCCCGCGCCGTCGCCCGAGGAGCCGGAGCCGCCGGACGCGCGGCCGCTGCACCTGGCGCAGAAGCAGGCGGGCGCGGCGCTGTGCGGGGACACGGACGACGAGGCGGGCGAGAGCGGCGGCGAGGGCATCTTCCGCGAGCGCGACGAGTTCGTCATCCGCGCCGAGGACGTCCCCTCCCTCAAGGTGAGCCCCGGGGACCCCGCCCGCTGGAGGCCGGGCTGGTCGGGCGTCACCCCGGGGACCCCGCGCCCGCAGGAGGCCGGGCTGGGCGGGCGTCACCCCGGGGACCCCCGCGCCCGCTGGAGGCCGGGCTGGGCGGGCGTCACCCCGGGGACCCCGCGCCCGCTGGAGGCCGGGCTGGGCGGCGGGGACAGCGCCCCTGGCGCCCCCCCCCCCCGGGCCCTTCTGAGCGCACAGCCCGCGGGGACGGGACGGCAGCCTCGGAGACGCTGTTCCGTGTGTCTGTTCCTAGAACGAGCTAACCCGCCGCTAACGGTTTGCTCTAGTTACCCTGGGTGCCGGGTGGCAGTGCGGTTACAGCGAAGCGGGGGAGCTCTGGTCCCTGGAGGGCGTTGCATGACGTAACTGTGAACGTGACGTCACCTGTGATGCCGTCGCCGATGGGCTGGGCATGCCTATGTGTCAGGCACAGCTGAAACCTTTTAGGCAGATCCCTGCTGCCCATTCCTCCACACCAGCCAGTTCCAGCCCCGAGGGCTGCATCCCTCGGCCTGGATATATAGCCACACCCGCTCATTTGCATATCAGTCTGACTGTTCATTAGCATATAACCACACCCACTCATTTGCATATCACTTCACACTCAGAGTGGGGCCTTTGCAGCCGGGCCTCGCTGGCCTGCAGAGCTGTGACCGCGTTACCTGTCTGCCCTTTGCAGAAGGTTTGCTGGCATCTGCGGTGCTTGGCTCCTGGGCAGGTAGAGTTGGGCCGGAGGGTTAATGCAGGATAAGTGCTGGGCAAGGCCCTGCCTCGCTGGTTTGGCTCAGTGGACAGAGCATCGGCCTGTGGACTGTGGGGTCCCAGGACTGAAGGGTCCCAGGTTCAATCCCAGTCAAGGGCACACGCCCTGGTTGCAGGCTGGATCCCCAGTGGGGGGCGTCAGGAGGCAGCTAATCAATGATTCTCTCCCCTCGTTGATGTTTCTCCTTCTTCCTTCTTCTCTGAGATCAATAAGAATATATATATATTTTTTAAAGTGTTCACTTCTCTAACTGGTTTGGCTCAGTGGATAGAGCATCAGCCTGCGGACAGAAGGGTCCCGGGTTCGATTCCGGTCAAGGGCATGTACCTTGGTTGCGGGCACATCCCCAGTAGGGGGTGTGCAGGAGGCAGCTGATCGATGTTTCTCTCTCATCGATGTTTCTTGCTCTATATCCTTCTCCCTTCCTCTCTGTAAAAAATCAATAAAATATATATATATATATATATATATATATATATATATATATATATATAATTTATTTTTATATATGGCAGAGCAAGGAGGAGGGTGAGCACTCGGAAGGGCAGGGAGCCATTGAGTACCCCGATGGCGACCCCAGAAGTGGAGGCCATTCTGCACATGAGTCATTGTCGCTGGCTGGGTGTTGACAAGGGGACAGGGCCCATGTTCTGGCCTCGGGGTACGCTGTCACGTTTCACTTAACCCTGGGTGTTGTTCCTTCTCACATGCAGACGGGGCGGATTAACTGTAAGGGTGATGACGGTTATTACACCCTTTACGGAGTGTTTTATGAGGTGGACGTTGTGTAGTTTCCTGGCATTATTTTTAAGCCATTTCATTGCGGGGAAAGGAGAGCGAATAGAATCCCGGGTCTGTGTGTACCCATTACTCCGCTTTCACCATCGTCCCCTCCTGGCTGGTCCTGCTCCCCCTGCCCCGCCCCAGACAGCATAACCTTTCACCCATATTTTATCGTCTTTTTTGGCATGCAATCTGACACATTTCAAAGAACGGTCAGGAGGGATTTGTAAGTTGTAAAGCAAAGTGCTAGCCGAAACCGGTTTGGCTCAGTGGATAGAGCCTCGGTCTGCGGACTGAAAGGTCCCGGGTTCGATTCCGGTCAAGGGCACGTACCTTGGTTGCCGGCACGTCCCCATTAGGGGGTGTGTAAGAGGCAGCTGATCGATGATTCTCTCTCATCGATGTTTCTAACTCTCTGTCCCTCTCCCTTCCTCTCTGTAAAAAATCAATAAAATGTATTAAAAAAAAAAAAAAAAAGCAAAATGCTAGAATGAATGCTTTTGTCCCACCACTCAGCCATCCACCAGAGCGTTCCCAGGGCCTTGAGTCTCGAGTGTCACCCCCTGGCTGGTTCTCCTGCGTCCCCCAGGGCTGTACCACCTGGTAGTGCCCTGTGTACATGATTTTACCCTCACGACCTCTGGGCCCATTTGGCCAGTCAGCCTGGGACAAGCGAGGGACGTGTTGAATAGACACCCATAGTGGGAACTGGGGCCTGGCCTGTATGGCTCAGGGGTTGAGCGTCAGCCTATGAACCAGGAGGTCACGGTTCGATTCCCGGTCAGGGCACATGCCCAGCTTGCAGGCTCCATACACAGTAGGGGGCGTGCAGGAGGCAGCTGATCAATGATTCTCTCTCTTCATTGATGTTTCTGTCTCTCTCTTCCTCTCCCTTCCTCTCTGAAGTACAAAAATAAAAAATAGTAGGAATTGGACAGGATTTGGGGCACGTCACAGTCAGAATGTAGTTTAATCTTTTTCCCCCTTTAACTGTGGCATCCTATGCATGCCACGAAGTTGATCCTCACCCTTGTGAAGTGTACCATTCGGTGACATGAAGTATATTATATTGTTGTGCAAAACTGTCTCCAAATTTTACCTTTTTTTTTTTTTGCTATAATTTTTTCATAGACTTTGTATGGCCTCATATGAGTATTGTGTGATATTTCCTTTTCTGTTTTTAAGGGATCTTTTCAACAGTGTGTATAAGGTAGTAATTAATTGTTCTTTGAACGTTTGTTACAACTGCCTATAAACCTGTCTAGGGCTCAGGGGGTAGGGTAGGAATTTTAATAATAATTATAATTTTTTTGTTTTGTTAGTATTCACCTGAGGATATTTTTTCCTTTTTTAAAATTTTCTTTATTGATTAAGGTGTCACATATTTGTCCTCAACCCCTCATTCCAACCCCCCCCCCCTTTTTTTGAGAGAGAGAGAGAGAGTGGAAGGGAGGAGGAAAGAGAAAGAAACACCGCTATGAGAGAGGCACATTGATTGGTTGCCTCCCACATCGCTCCCACAGGGGCCAGGAATCAAACCTGTAACCCAGATACGTGCCCTTGACTGGGAATCGAACCCATGACCCTTTGGTGCATGGGCTGATGCTCTACCCCCTGAGAAAAACCAGCCAGGGCTGCAAGATTTATCATATACATGTAGATAGATAGATAGATAGATATTTCAGAGAGGAAGGGAGAGGGAGAGAGAAACATCAATGATGAGAGAGAATCATCGATCGGCTGCCTCCTGCACACCCCTCACGGGGGATCAAGCCTGAAGCCCAGGCATGTGTTTGACCGGAATCGAACCCGTGACTCATCAGTCCATAGGCCGACACTGAGCCAAATAGCATGGGCTCCAAGATTTATCTTTATAATCTACCTTCCTTTTTAAAAAAAAAAAAAAAAAAAAAAAAATATATATATATATATATATATATATATATATATATATATATATATATATATATATATATATAATATTGACTTTTTACACTGGGGATGTGCCCGCACCCAGGGTACATGCCCCTGACGGGAATCGAACCCGGGACCCTTCAGTCTGAAGGCCGATGCTCGATCCACAGATCCAAACCAGTGAGGGCCTACCTTCCTTTATGAGGGATTATTATCCCCATTTCCCAGGGAAGGAAACTGAGGCACAGAGCAGTAGAGCAGTGTTCCCAAAGCTTTCCCAGCTGGGCCCTGCCCGCAGCCCCGCTGCCCTCAGCGCCAGACCCGGCGGCTCTCTCTGCAATTCTGTCCAGCACGGACGACGGAGCAGCCCGCGCTCCTGGGTGCTCAGCCCTGGGCACGGAGCAGGGCTGTGGGCAGGGACCGCGGCTCCCAATTTACAGACGAGGAAGTCCATGATCAGAGAGAGGAAATCATTGGGCTGGTGAGTTCTGAGCCGGGCACGGAGCCAGAGCCATCTGACACCACCTCCCGCTGGCCTGGGGCAGAGGAGGGGGCTGGGCGAGGACTCGGCGCTTAAAATACAACACACACGTGTGCGTTGGCATGGGGGACGCATGGCCTCGGGGCTGGGCCACCAGTGCAGTCGGGGACTCGATCGTGTGCCCGGAATCGGGGCAGGCAGGCGGCATGGTTGTGGAGGGCCTGACTCTGACTGTCCTCTAACTGGTACGAATCTCTGCCGCCTCTGAGCTAGACGGGTACAGAACCTTCCTGGGCCTCGGTGTCCCCATCTGTAAAATGGGCTGATTGCAGCAGTACCTCCACCATGCAGCGTGAGGGCCCGGCCGTCACGGTTTGCTCAGTGCCCTGACCGCGGGTGGCACGCTGAGGTGTCCCGTAAGCTTTGCCTCTCGTATTCATCGTGTTGATCTGGGGGCATTTCTGGTGGAGAGCTTCGCCACGTCTTTCTGAGGCCCTTGTGCTAGAACAGAGAGCACATATGTTTGGCTTTGTAAACCACTTAGGGTCTCTGACATATGATCTTTCCTTTTCCTTTTTTTTTTTTTTTTTAAATATATTTTATTGATTTTGTACAGAGAGGAAGGGAGAGAGATAGAGAGTTAGAAACATCAATGAGAGAGAGTCATCGATCAGCTGCCTCTTGCACACCCCCTACTGGGGATATGCCCGCAACCAAGGTACATGCCCTTGACCGGATTCGAACCCGGGACCCTTCAGTCCCCAAGCCGACGCTCTATCCATTGAGCCAAACCAGTCCCCGCTTTTTTTTTTTTTTTTTTTTTTTTTTTTTTTACAATTTTTTAAAAATGTAGAAACAGCTGAAGCCGGTGTGGCTCAGTGGATAGAGCGTTGGCCTGTAGACTGAAGGGTCCCGGGTTCGATTCCGGTCAGGGGCATATATTGTACCTTGGTTGTGGGCACATCCCCGGGTGGGGGGGGGGGGTGTAGGAGGCAGCTGATCGATGTTTCTAACTATCCCTCTCTCTTCCTCTCTGTAAAAAATCAATAAAACATTTATATATATTTTTTTAAAATGTAGAAACCGCTTGGCCAGCATGGTTGAGCGTTGATCTGTGAACCAGGAGGTCACAACTCGATTCCTGGTCAGGGCACAGGCCCGGGTTGCAGGCTCCATCCCCCGTGTAGGGTGTACAAGAGGCAGCTGATCAGTGATTTTCTCTCGTCATTGATGTTTCTCTCTCTCTCTCTCTCCCTCTCTTTTTCTCTCTGGAATCAATTAAAAAAAAAAAACCAACCCCTCATATTTTTAAATGTAGAAACCATTCTTAGCTCTTAGATGTATAAAAATGGGCCAAGGGCCATCGTTTTTTTCCTAGAGCAGCGGCAGTCCAATAGAAATATCATGAGTCATAACCGTCATTGAAACTTTCTTGGATCCACATTTAAAAAAAAAAATGTTTTATTGATTTTTAACAGAGAGGAAGGGAGAGGGATAGAGAGTCAGAAACATCGATGAGAGAGAAACATCAATCAGCTGCCTCTTGCACACCCCTCACTGGGGATGTGCCCGCAACCAAGGTACAAGCCCTTGACTGGAATCGAACCCGGGACCCTTCAGTCTGACACTCTATCCACTGAGCCAAACTGGTTTCGGCTGGACCCACATTTTTAAACAGTTAAAAGAAGGGTGAGATTAGCCACAGGAATGTCTTTCCTTTAACCCAGCCTATCTAAAATAGCATTTCAGCATGTAATTAATATAGAAAAACTTGGTGTTTTACGTGGTGTGTTGTGCTTTTTTTATACCAAATCTTCGGAATCCAGTGAGTATTTTACACCCGTAAAACATTCAGATCAGCTGCATTTCAAGTACTCAAGAGCTATATGTGGTGAGAGAGGGGCTGCCGACCCATCTGTAACCTGGGTGTGATCATAGTCACTCTCAGTTCTTGGGGGTGATGAAGACTTAGCAAGATGCAAACTCTGAGCTCATGAGTGTTGGTTGGATGGAGAAAAGTGTGGGGAGAGTCTGGGAAGCATGGGCAGCTTGTGATGGGCCGGGATACGAGGAGTCGGGCCTTGGCCAGGAAGCACCAAGTCTGGAATGAATGGGAGACTCTGCTCTGGGTGGCTCTGCAGGGAGGTGGCTGTGGAGGTGTCGGTTCTGGAGACCGTCTGCTCCCTGCATGACTTCTGTGACAGGGACTCCCCTGTTAGTGGACCTCAAAGGCTCCCTGGGTCTAGCTTCCTCACCTCCTGCTGCTGGCTGTCCTTCTCTCAGCTTGTCACAGTTCAAACTCCCAGGGCAGAATCTGATTGGTCGAACTCAGCCTTCGGGGTCAGTGGGCGGGGCCACGTCCCCGGTAAGTGGAAGTGGGTGTTGGCATGAGGAGAGGCAGGAAGGACATGGCTTTGGGAGGAACTGGCACTGGTTGAGGAGCTGGCAGGGACGTTTGCCAGTTGACTGGGTCCGATGATGTGGGCGGGGGTGGGGGGAACACCAGGAATCCTGGGAGAAAAGTGGTTTGAGGGAAGACGCCAAGCCCAATGGGAAAGCAGTGAGCCCAGGGACTTAGTCCAGCCAGCGAGTCAGCTGACTCCTTAGAGAAAGCAGACAAGCAGTGGGGAGAGGCAGAGGTGGGTGGTTTTCTCTGGCTTGGGGCGGGGGGGTGGGGATGGGAGCACTGATGGATTTCTCAAGGGCTTCTGAGAACTAGGACGGCACATTCTAGTCACAGTGAGAGAGGTAAGCACCCTTGGTGGGGGACCCAGCATATGCAAAAGCTTGGAGTTCAAAAGTATGGGGCTTGCTGAAACCGGTTTTGCTCAGTGGATAGAGCATCGGCCTGCGGACTGAAGGGTCCCAGCTTCGATTCCTGTCAAGGGCATGTACCTTGGTTGTGGGCACATCCCCAGTAGGGGGGTGTGCAGGAGGCAGCTGATGGATGTTTCTGGCTCTCTATCCTTCTCCTTCCCACTCTGTAAGAAGTCAATAAAATATATTATTAAAAAAAAAAAATAGTAATAAAGGGTCTGGGACTTGCTCCAGCCAGTGTGGCTCAGTGGTTGGGCATCATTCTATGCCCCAAACGGTTGCCAGTTCAATTCCTTGTCAGCGCACATGCCCGGGTTGCACGCTCGATCCCCAGGGGTGGGCATTCAGGAGGCAGCTGATGGATGTTTCTCTTTCACATCCATGTTTCTCTCCTCCCTTCCTCTCTAAGTCGGGGGCGTGTCTGCTGAGCGTGGAGGGGTGTGCATGGCCGGCTGTGCAGGGGCAGAGTCTCTCCGTGCCCATCTGCCGCCTGCTGAGGGCTTTGGAGCCGGGGAGGATGTACATGGACTTTCCCGTCCGTGGGCCGCTGGCCTGGCTCCCTGAGGAGCCAGAGGGAGGGCTGAGAACCACGTTCGCTGGAGGAAAGCACGTCAGGTGGGGGCGCCTGTGTCCCTTGCCCGTCCGCCTCCCGGCCCATCCTGCCTCACTCTCGTTTGAGGCTCTGGCCCGCGTTTTCATCAGGCTGTGGATCTGGTCGGTTGATCTGACTGGTCTGAGGGACGTGAGGCATCCGGACTGTGGGAGCCGTCGCCGTTGACCCCAAACCCAGGGTGGGTAACCGACACCTGGCAGCCAGCCCTCCCTGCGGCCTCTGCTGCCAGGGCAGACATTACTAATTGATCCCAGCACTCGCTCCTGCTGAGCCTGGTGCTCAGGGCAGCCACGGCCAATCGATTGGCGTGATCGTCCAAATGCTGCCGTGGCCCCCTTGACTGTGGCTTCTCCTTCCTCTCTGGGTCAGCACGATGCACGTACCCCCGTGTGCTTAGTCTCCGCGTGTCTGCACCACTGCGAGCTGCTCCCGTCTAGAGCCACAGCCGTCACACACATCCCTGTGGCCCTGGCCACCACCCAGGCCCCGCGAGGAGAGGGACACGGTGCTTCCGAGACGCATTTCGGCGTCCCTTCTTCCAGGAAGCGATCTTGGATTCAGACTGAGTTCAGGGTCCGCTCTCTAGGCTTCTGGGGCATCTGCCATGAACACATTCACTTTATTTCTTTTAAAATATATATATATACTTTATTGATTTCTTACAGAGAGGAAGGGAGAGGGATAGAGAGTTAGAAACATCGATGAGAGAGAATCATGGGTCAGCTGCCTCCTGCACACCCCCCACTGGGGATGTGCCTGCAACCAAGGCACGTGCCCTTGACCGGATTCGAACTTGGGACCCTTGAGTCTGCAGGCCGATGCTCTGTCCACTGAGCCACATTGGTTAGAGCCATTAACACATTTCTTTCTTTTTTTCTTTTTTTAAATTATTTTAAAAATATTTTTTATTGATTTTTTTTTTATAGAGAAGAAGGGAGAGGGATAGAGAGTTAGAAACATGGATGAGAGAGAAACATCCATCAGCTGCCTCCTGCACACCCCCCACCGGGGATGTGCCCGCAACCAAGGCACATGCCCTGCCCGGAATCGAACCGGGGACCCTTCAGTCCGCAGGCCGACGCTCTATCCGCTGAGCCACGCCGGTTGGGGCTGACCACGATGTTTCTGTCGAAGGGGGTGGGTACCGAGGGAGGTCGGAGGGCCGGGAATTGGGGGGGAGGGCAAGGCGCAGGCCGGTGCTGACCCACCGCTCGCCGCCCCCTCAGCTGGCGCTGCAGACGGGCCGGGAGCCGCCGCCCATCTGGCGGGTGCAGAAGGCGCTGCTGCAGAAGTTCACGCCGGAGATCAAGGACGGGCAGCGGCAGTTCTGCGCCACCAGCAACGTGAGCCCGGGCGGCGGGGGCCGGCTGCGGGGTGTCCCTCCGGGGTCCGCCCCCCGGGGGCGGGCGGGCGGAGTCTCCCCTGTGCCTCTCCCCCGCAGTACCTGGGATATTTCGGGGACGCCAAAAACCGGTACCAGCGCCTCTACGTGAAGTTCCTGGAGAACGTCAACAAGAAGGACTACGTGCGGGTCTGCGCGCGGAAGCCCTGGCACCGGCCCCCGGCGCCCGTCAGGTACCCGGGCCGGGGCCGGGCGGCTCGGCCAGGGGCTGGGGCCGGACATGGGCCAGGAAACTGTCAGGAGGCGGGACAGACCCAGAGAGAGGAGGGTCCAGGGCCGGGGACAGGCCCAGGGAGGGATGGATAGTGCAGGGAGGGATGGACAGACCCAGTGAAGGATGGACAGTCCAGGGAGGGATGGACAGACCCAGGGAGGGATGGACAGACCCAGAGAAGGATGGACAGGCCCAGGGAGGGATGGACAGTCCCAGGGGGGGATGGACAGACCCAGGGAGGGATGGACAGGCCCAGGGAGGGATGGACAGTCCCAGGGGGGGATGGACAGACCCAGGGAGGGATGGACAGGCCCGGGGGGAATGGACAGGCCCAGTGGGGGGGATGGACAGTCCAGGGAGGGATGGACAGGCCCGGGGGGGATGGACAGGCCCAGGGAGGGATGGACAGGCCCAGGGAGGGATGGACAGTCCAGGTGGAAATGGACAGACCCGGGGAGGGATGGACAGGCCTGGGGATGGATGGACAGGCCCAGGGGGGGATGGACAGGCCCAGGGAGGGATGGATAGGCCCAGGGGGGGATGGACAGGCCCAGGGGGGGATGGACAGGCCCAGGGGGGGATGGACAGGCCCGGGGGGGATGGACAGGCCCGGGGGGGGGATGGACAGACCCAGGGAGGATCCGCCTCAGTGACAGGGAAGGTCTGCGCTGAGAGCTGTGGGCTGGGCAGGGGGTCCCAAGGGGAGAACCTGGGTGTCTGGGGGTGCTGACTGTTCCCTCCGGTGTCCCCTCCCAGGCGCTCGGGGCAGGCCAAGGGCCCGGCCTCTGCAGGGGGCAGCTCGGCCCCCGCCCCCAAGGCCCCGGGGCCGCCTCCTAAGCCCGAGACCCCCGACAAGACGGCATCGGAGAAGCCCCCGGAGCAGCCCCCCGAGACGGCCGCGCCCGAGCCCCCGGCCCCCGAGGGGGCGTCCCCGCCTCCGCCTGCGGAGAAGGAGAAGGAGCAGGAGAAGGAGCAGGAGAAGGAGCAGGAGAAGGAGAAGGAGAAGGAGCAGGAGAAGGAGAAGGAGAAGGAGAAGGAGCGGGGGGCCCGGGGGGACCGGCTGCTGCGCGGGGAGCGGGGCCCGGGCGGCCGGCAGGCGCGGCCGGAGCGGGGCCTCGCGGGGCAGCCCGCCGCCCGGCTGCCCAAGACCCGGCCGGCCAAGGTGAAGGCCGAGCCGCCCCCCAAGAAGAGGAAGAAGTGGCTGAAGGAGGCGGCGGGCAGCGCGGCCGGCGGGGGCGCGGCCGGCAGCTCCTCGGACTCGGAGCCGTCCCCCGGAGTGGCCAGCGAGGACGGTGAGGCCCGGGCGGCCCGGAGCCGGGGGCGGGCGGGGGACGGGGGGCGGACAGGACACCCGGCCTTCAGGGGGAGGCATGGGCGAGGGCTGTCCAGAGAGTCCAGGTAACATGAGTAGGACTGTCACAGTAATAAGTAAGTGAACAATGCCAGCAGGAGACCAGCTGGTGTGGCTCAGTGGTTGAGCATCGACCTAGGAACCAGGAGGTGAGGGTTCGATTCCCGGTCAGGGCACATGCTGGTGTGAGGGGCATGCTGGAGGCAGCTGATCAATGATTCTCATCATGGATGTTTCTCTCCTTCTCCCTCTCTCTAAAATGAATTAAAAAAAAAATATATATATATATATATATATATGTGTGTATATATATATATATATATATATATATATATGCATGCTATGCCCTGGCCAGTTTGGTTCAGTGGATAGAGCGTCCGCCTGCGGGCTGAAGGGTCCCGGGTTCGATTCCAGTCAAGGGCATGTACCTTGGTTGCGGGCGCATCCCCAGTGGGGGCTGTGCCAGAGGCAGCTGATCAATGATTCTCTCTCATCGATATTTCTAGCTCTCTATCCCTCTCTCTTCCTCTCTGTAAAAAAAAAAAAATCAATAACATATATTTAAAACAAAACAAAACAAAAACAAAAACTAGCCAGGCTCTAACCAGGTAGTGCAGTTGGTTAGAGCAGTGTTTTTCAACCTTTTTTGGGCAAAGGTACACTTGTTTCATGAAAAAAATCACTAGGCACACCACCATTAGAAAATGTTAAAAAATTTAACTCTGTGCCTATATTGACTATATATAAAGTAATTCTCTTGAATAGGAATCAAATAAACACAAAGTATTTTATAATTACTTTATTATGAAATATTAAGTAAACAAAATAGTGAAAAATTATAAAATTCTTGTCTTGTCTGCACCTACGGCACACCAGGCAACATCTCAGGAACAGGAACAGCGGTTGAAAAACGCTGGGTTAGAGCATCATCCCAAGACCCGAAGATTGCAGGTTCGACCCTGGTCAGGGCACATGCAAGAATCAACCACTGAATGCATACATAAGTGGAACAACAAATCAGTGTTTTTCTCTCTCTCTTCCTCTCTAAAAATCAATCAATAATAAAAAATAATTAAAAAATATATATATAACTAGCCAGTAGCTAACAACGATGGGCATGTCTCATCACGTGGTGGGCGTCTTCTAAGTTCCTTGCTCATCTCGCATCCTTCTCACAGCAGTCTTAGTGGCGGGTGCTGCCCTCACCCTCACACGCAGCTGGGGGTGTGCCCGCAACCAAGGTACATGCCCTTGACTGGAATCGAACCCGGGACCCTTCAGTCCTCAAGCTGAGGCTCTACCCACTGAGCCACACTGGTTAGGACGGTAGTCGATTTTGGGGCATTTACATCATCAAAGAGGAAAACCCTGCACCCTCTGGCTATCACTCCCCTGCCCTCCCCTCCCTCCAGCCCTAATGTCCCACCTCCATAGACACGCCTCTCCTGGACTTGTCTGCTAAGTGGATCATATTATACAATTCGAGGCCTTTTGTGTCTGGCTTCTTGCACTGAGCACAGTATTTTTGAGGTTCACCCATGGATTGGTGCTCCATCCCTTTTCCTGGCTGAATACCATTCCATTGTATGGATCGACCCCGTTGTATTTATCCATGTGCCAGCTGGCGGGCCTTCGGGCGGCGCCCACCGTTTGGCTAATGCTGCTATGAGCATACACGGACAGCCCTGGGTGTTCGGGGCCTGGGAAATGGGAACTGAACTCTGTACTCTTTTTTTTTTTATTGATTTTTTTACAGAGAGGAAGATAGAGAGATAGGGAGTTAGAAACATCGATGAGAGAGAACCATCCATCAGCTGCCTCCTGCACACCCCCCACCGGGGACGTGCCCGCAACCAAGGCACATGACCGGAATCGAACCCAGGACCCTTCAGTCCGCAGACCGATGCTCCACCACTGAGCCAAACTGGTTTCGGCTGTACTCTTTTATTTATTTATTTATTTATTTATTTTTATTTTTATTTTTTAAATATATTTTATTGATTTTGTGCAGAGAGAAAGGGAGAGAGATAGAGAGTTAGAAACATCGATGAGAGTCATCGATCAGTTGCCTCTTGCACACCCCCTACTGGGGATGTGCCCACAACCAAGGTACATGCCCTTGACCGGAATCGAACCCGGGACCCCTCAGTCCCCAAGCCGACGCTCTATCCATTGAGCCAAACCGGTTTCGGCTCGGCTGTACTCCTTTAAAAAAAAAAAGTGTGTGTGTGTGTGTGTGTGTGTGTGTGTGTGTATTATTGATTTCTTGCAGAGAGAAAGGGAGAGGGATAGAGAGTTAGAAACATCAATGGGAGAGAAATATGGATCTGCTGCCTCCTGCACATCTCCTACTGGGGATGTGCCCACAACCAAGGTCCATGCCCTTGACCGGAATCGAACCTGGGACCCTTCAGTCCACAGGCCGACGCTCTGTCCACTGAGCCACACTGGTCAGGGCTGAACTCTGTACTCTTAGGGGGAGCGGCTTCCCTTCCAAGGGTCAGTATCCATCTCTGGGTCTGGGGGAACCCCCCCCCCCCGCGCGCCCTTCCCCCTGCGCCCCTCCCCCCACCCCATTCAACCAGGACTCCCTCCAGGGGGAGGACTGGATACCCTGAAGGCTTTGTCCCGTCCAGAGGCCTCAACACCAGCCCTCCCAGCCGCCCTCTGTGTGCTGGACGCGGGCACGCTCTCCTCTCCCGGGTCCCCAGAGAAAGTTCTAGAAAGACGCTGCGGTGCCGGCTCCTCTCCTCTGCCTCCCCTCCCCGCCCACCCGGCGTCCTCAGCCTCTTCCTGCGGGTGCTCATTGAGCACGTGCTGTGTGCCAGGGCGGGCCCAGCCGAGAGCAGAACAGACAGAAAACACGTGTCCTCACGGGAGCTCAGAGTCCGGCCGGGAGGCCATCAGATAGCGGGTTACGTAACAGAAGACAAAACCACACGGAAGCCCACCGGGGAGGCCGGGCGCAGCTGAGGAAAAGGGGTCGGGGAAGAGGATCCGGGCGGCACCCTGGGCGCCGTTTTTGGGGAAAGGGGAGCCGTGGGAGAGGCTCGGCAGTGACATCACCGGAGCAGCGGGGCCATGTGACTGCGAGGGAGATCGGGACAGAGGCCAGGGCTGGAGCCAGCGGGAGAGGGTGACGGGGGAGGGCAGAGAAGGAACAGGACCAGCCGACACCGGTGTGGCTCAGTGGGTAGAGCCTTGGTCTGCGGACTGAAGGGTCCCAGGTTCGATTCCGGTCAAGGGCATGGACCTTGGTGGCGGGCACATCCCCAGTGGGGGGTGTGCAAGAGGCAGCTGATGGATGATTCTCTCATCGATGTTTCTAACTCTCTATCCCTCTCTCTTCCTCTCTGTAAAAAATCAATAAAATATATTAAAAAAAAAAAAGAGAGAGAACAGGACCAGGTCTGGGAGGGACAGGGGGCCTGGGGCCGAATGGCGGGATTTCACCCCAGGCCACGCAGGAGATGGCGGTGGGTTTGGGCTGAGGCCTGATGGGTCTGACCCCCCACTGCCTAGGGGTCACGCCAGATCCTTAAACGGCTGTTAGCGGGGACCCTCTCCAGGGACCCCCGATCGGCATACACCGCGTGCACGTGTCTCCGGCCGCTTCCTCCCCGGGCCTCCTGCCTGTCTCTCTCCGCCCTCTCCCTCGCGCGTGTCCCTCCGCGGCCGGCCTTGGCCTTGGCCTTGCTGCTCCTGGCTCTCCGCCGCTCCCCAGCGGCTCCCACACGTTCCCGCGAGCCTCGGGGCCGCCCTCCAGGCCCCCCGCAGCCCCTCCCTCCGGGGCCCGCAGAGCGCCTCGTCCTAGACTCCCGTCTCAGGGGTGGTCCCCGTGGCCACCGGCCCCCGGGCCAGGCACCTGAGAGGTCCCAGTCCTCCCCCTCGCTCACTGCCCCTCCCTCTGCTCTTTCCCCATTCCCCCTCTCCATAGCCTGTCCCTCCTGCCCTGCTCCAGCCTCACCCTTTCTTACTTTAAAAAAATATATATATTTTATTGATTTTTTTAAAAAAATTTTTTATTGATTTTTTACAGAGAGGAAGAGAGAGGGATAGAGAGCTAGAAACATCGATGAGAGAGAATCATCAACCAGCTGCCTCCTGCACACCCCCCACCAGGGATGTGCACACAACCTTGACTGGAATCGAACCCGGGATCCTTCCATCCGCAGGCCGACGCTCTATCCACTGAGCCAAACCAGTTTCGGCACCTCCTCCTTTCTTTTTTTTATTAAATATATTTTATTGATTTTTTACAGAGAGGAGGAGAGAGGGATAGAGAGCTAGAAACGTCGATGAGAGCGAAACATTGACCAGCCGCCTCCTACACACCCCCTACTGGGGATGTGTCCACAACCAAAGTACATGCCCTTGACCGGAATTGAACCCGGGACCCTTCAGTCCACAGACCGACGCTCCACCACTGAGCCGAACCGGTTTCGGCTCCTCCCCCTTTCTTACCTGGCCCATCGCCCTGAGCTCTGGCCTCAGGCCTCCGGCAGTGCCCCACCGGCCTCAGTGGGTCCTGGTACACCTTCCGGCTCCCCTGCCCCCAGCCCTCCTGGCCTCCTGGCACCCACTGGGAAAGCCCTTGGCCTCTGCCCCTCCCGCCGGGGGCCCGGCCGTGTCCCGCTGGCACTGATAACGCACCGTCCGCGCCTATCTCCTCCCTCCATCTCGCCCTCTGCGATCTGATCTCTGGCTTGATTCACCGGCTCAGACACCAGCTAGGCTGCTGCTTCAGACTTGGTTGAAGCTGCATGGAACTAGTGCTAAGGTGACCAGACGCCCCGCTTTTGGCGGGACAATCCTGATTTCCAACAATCTTTTCTTTTTTTCTTTTTTTTAATATATGCTTTTTATTGATTCTTTACAGAGAGGAAGGGAGAAGGATAAAGAGCCAGAACATTGATGAGAGAGAAACATCGATCAGCTGCCTCCTGCACACCCCCCACTGGGGATGCGCCCGCAACCAAGGCACATGCCCTTGACCGGAATCGAACCTGGGACCCCTCAGTCTGCAGGCTGACGCTCTAGCCACTGAGCCAAACCGGTTAGGGCGCAATTTCCAACAATGTGTCCCTCGGCGTTTTAAAAAAAAGTCCCGACTTTTTTTTAAAATGCCGAGGGACACATTGTTGGACTCTTTCAAAAAAAATCAGGACTTTTTAAAACACCACGGGACCCAGGACAAATTGTTGGAAATCGGGATGTCTGGTCACCTTAATGCTGAAACCGGTTTGGCTCAGTGGACAGAGCGTCGGCCTGCGGACTGAAAGGTCCTGGGTTCGATTCCGGTCAAGGGCATGTACCTGGGTTGCGGGCACATCCCCAGTGGGGGGTGTGCAAGAGGCAGCTGACGGATGATTCTCTCTCATCGACGTTTCTAACTCTCTATCCCTCTCCTTTCCTCTGTAAAAAATCAATAAAATTAAAAAATAAAAAATATATATTTTTTAAAAAAATAAAATAAAGTCAGACACGAAGCTTAGCAGCGGGAAGGCTGTCGCTGGCTCCTGGCCGGCCGCCGCCCCGTGGCTGGGCCTCCCGGAGAGCGGGGTTTCTCCCCTGGTCCCCGGTGCTGGGGCCTTGGTCTGCCCCCCGGGGGCGCAGAGAGGGCGGAACCACGAACCCCGCCCCGTGTCCCCGCAGAGCGGGCGGTGCCCGGGCGGCTGCTGAAGACGCGGGCCATGCGGGAGATGTACCGGAGCTACGTGGAGATGCTGGTGAGCACCGCGCTGGACCCGGACATGATCCAGGCGCTGGAGGACACGCACGGTGAGCTGGGCGGAGGGGCAGCGGCGGGCAGCCCTCCCGTGCCCCAGCCCCACCGCGCACCGCGCACCGGGGCGGGACCCTCCTGACGGCCCTCCCGTCTCCAGACGAGCTGTACCTCCCGCCCATGCGCAAGATCGACGGCCTCCTGAACGAGCACAAGAAGAAGGTCCTGAAGCGGCTGTCGCTGAGCCCGGCCCTGCAGGTGCGGCAGGCTGGGCGGGAGGCTGGGCCGGAGGGGCTGGGCCCAGGTCAGGCGCGGAGCACACCGGGGCCGGGGCAGGGTCCCCAGAACATCTGGAGGGAGCGCGGGCTTGGCGGGGGAAACGTTGAGAGCAGGGGTGCCTGAGGTCTGGGATGGGCTGCTGGTGGGAAGGCCCAACAGAGTGCGGTTGTGGAAGGCAGGTTTGGGGACAAAAGGTAAACTGAGGCCTGCAGGAAGGGCTCATGGACATAATACAGGCTCTTTGACAGAGAATCTCAAGCTTCAATATATATATATATATATATATTTATTTATTTTTTTAATATTATTTTATTGATTTTTTACAGAGAGGAAGGGAGAGGGAGAAAGAGTTAGAAACAGCCGAAACCGGTTTGGCTCAATGGATAGAGCGTCGGCTTGGGGACTAAAAGGTCCCGGGTTCGATTCCGGTCAAGGGCATGTACCTTGGTGGTGGGCACATCCCCAGTAGGGGGTGTGCAAGAGGCAGCTGATTGATGACTCTCTCTCATCGATGTTTCTAACTCTCTATCTCTCTCTTCCTCTCTGTACAAAATCAATAAAATATATATATTTTTAAAAGAGTTAGAAACATCCATCAGCTGCCTCCTGCACACCCCTCACTGGGGATGTGCCCGCAACCAAGGTACATGCCCTTAACCGGAATCGAACCCGGGACCCTTCAGTCCGCAGGCCAACACTCTAGCCACTGAGGCAAACTGGTCAGGGTAGTATTTTTTTTAAAAAATACATTTTTATTGATTTTGGAGAGGAAGGGAGAGGGAGAGAGACATATCAACGCCCCACACTGGGGACCAAGCCTGCACCGCAAGCATGTGCCCTTGACCAGGAATCGAACCGTGATCGACACTCAACCACTGCGCCATGTTGGCCCATCCATCTGTGTGATTTCTTCCTGGAATGGCTAGGGTTCTGAGGTGGAATGGCGGGGTGGCCCCAGGGAATTCTGGGATAGAATATAAGCCCTGAGATTCTGATAGGGAAGTTGGTGTCATGCTGAGAATCTTGGGGTGGGATGTTAGGGTGACGTGGATTCCTGGGATGCGCCCTGAGAATTCTGAGGGACGTACTTGTGGGTCAGAGAATTCTAGGATGGGTTTTGGGCTGGCTTTGGAAATTCTCGGCGGGATGCTAGTTTGTAGGGCCTACAAAGTTAACTTGGATCTAGAGTCCTGCCCGGGATGTTGAGAGCGCTCTTGAGAATCCGGGATTGGCTGGTAGCCTGGCTCTGAGGAGTCTGGGTAGGATCTCGTGCTAGGGTTAACAATCCTATTATTTGGCTCAGTGGATAGAGCATTGGCTCTTGGACTGAAGGGTCCCGGGTTCCATTCAGGTCAAGGGCATGTATCTTGGTTGCAAGTTCCCAACCCTGGTCAGGGCACATGCAAGAGGCAACCAATCAGTGTGTCTCTCTCACATCAATGTTTCTCTGTCTCTTTCCCTTCCGCTCTCTAAAAATCAATGGGAAAATATTATCAGGTGAGGATTAACAAAAATAAAATGAATAAAAATCAGATCTTTTTTGGAGGGAAAAATTCCATTGTTAAGAAAAAAAGGAGCCCTGGTCAGTTAGCTCAGTAGGTTAGAGCCTCATCCTGATACACCAAGGTTGGGGGTTCAATCCCTGGTCAGGGCACGTACAAGAATAAACCTGCGAATGCATAAATAAGTGGAACAGCACATCGATGTTTCTCTCTCCCCCTCCCTCCCTCCCTCCCTTGTCTCTAAAAATCACTTTTAAAAATTATTTTAAACAAGACAAGCCATTGTAGAATATAGACATGCCTCATCTTACTGTGATTCACAGATATTGCATTTTATTTTTATTTTTATTTTTTACAAATTGAAGGTAAGACCCTCCACCAGCAAAAAGCTTACCACTTGGAAAGGCTCAGATGATGGTTCACATTATTTTGACAATACAATATTTTTAAGTGAAGACGTGTACATTTTTTTTTTTTAGACAGAATGTTATTGCACACGCAATGTTCTACGGTATAGCGCCGTAAACCTACTTTCATATGCACCTGGAAACCAAAAATTGTGTGGCTTGCTTTATGGCGATGCCCGCTTTATTGCGGCGCCTGCTTTATTGCGGCGCCTGCTTTATGGCGGCGCATGCTTTACGGCAAAGCCCGCCTTATTGCGGTGTCGCTTTACGGCAATGCCCACTTTACGGCAGTCGGCGGTGGAATGGAGCGGGTGTTGCCAGGGGATACCTGTATTGGGGTCGGCCTGTGGGTTCCGGGGTGGGACGGCAGCCTGGCTTTAGGATTCGGGGATGGAGTGTTACCTGGCTCCGGGGATTCTGGACTTCCGGCTGGTCGGAGAGTGTTGAGGATTTGGGGGTGGCTCTGAGGGTCCTGGGCCGGGAACAGGCATACAGGTCACCCGCCGCAGGCCTGGGCTCCCGGGGCCTTGGAAGAAGCGAGACTCCCCCCCGTTTTCTTTCTTTTTTTAATATATATTTTATTGATTTGTACAGAGAGGAAGGGAGAGGGATAGGGAGTTAGAAACATCGATGAGAGAGAACCATCGATCAGCTGCCTCTTGCACGCCCCCTACTGGGGATGTGCCCGCAACCAAGGCACATGCCCCTGACCGGAATCGAACCCGGGACCTTTCAGTCCGCAGACAGACGCTCTATCCCCTGAGCCACGCCGGTTTGGGCCCAGTTGTTTCTTGACCTGCAGCCTGGGGGGAAACTGAGGCATCTTGGGGGACCTGAGGCCCGGGCGGAGGGTGTGGTGCCCCCTGACCCTCCCTCCCCCGCAGGACGCCCTGCACACGTTCCCGCAGCTGCAGGTGGAGCAGAGCGCGGAGGGCTCCCCCGAGGACGGGGCGGTGCGGCTGCGGCCGGCCGGGGAGCCCTACAACCGCAAGACGCTCAGCAAGCTCAAGAGGAGCGCCGTCCGGGCCCAGGTGCGGCGGCGGGCGGGCCGGGGGGGCTGTCCGGGGCTGGGCGGGTGCTGACGCTGCTCCACCCCGTGTGCCCAGGAGTTCAAGGTGGAGCTGGACAAGTCGGGGTACTACACGCTCTACCACTCCCTCCACCATTACAAGTACCACACCTTCCTGCGCTGCCGGGACCAGGTGAGTCCCCCCCCCCCCACCCCCGCCTCCCCACATCCCCACCTCCCCGCCTCCCCGCATCCCCGCATCCCCACCTCCCCACATCCCCGCATCCCCACATCACCACCTCCCCGCCTCCCCGCCTCCCCGCCTCCCCGCCTCCCCACCTCCCCACATCACCACATCCCCGCCTCCCCACCTCCCTGCCTTCCCACCTCCCCGCCTCCCCGCCTCCCCACGGCTCCCTGGGGAGCTACCCCTATTGGCTCTAACAGGAGTCCAGGCCCCCAGTCCCCTCCTCCCTCAGACCCAGGGGTCCAGGCCCCCAGTCCCTCCTCCCTCAGACCCAGGGGTCCAGGCCCCCAGCCCCTCCTCCCTCAGGCCCAGGGGTCCAGGCCCCCAGCCCCTCCTCCCTCAGACCCAGGAGTCCCGCTCCCAGCCCCTCCTCCCTCAGACCCAGGAGTCCAGGCCCCCAGCCCCTCCTCCCTCAGACCCAGGGGTCCAGGCCCCCAGCCCCTCCTCCCTCAGGCCCAGGGGTCCAGGCCCCCAGCCCCTCCTCCCTCAGACCCAGGGGTCCCGCTCCCAGCCCCTCCTCCCTCAGACCAGGGGTCCCGCTCCCAGCCCCTCCTCCCTCAGACCAGGGGTCCCGCTCCCAGCCCCTCCTCCCTCAGACCAGGGGTCCCGCTCCCAGCCCCTCCTCCCTCAGACCAGGGGTCCCGCTCCCAGCCCCTCCTCCCTCAGACCCAGGGGTCCCGCTCCCAGCCCCTCCTCCCTCAGACCCAGGGGTCCAGGCCCCCTGCCCCTCCTCCCTCAGACCCAGGGGTCCAGGCCCCCAGCCCCTTCCTCCCTCAGACCCAGGGGTCCCGCTCCCAGCCCCTCCTCCCTCAGACCCAGGGGTCCAGGCCCCCAGCCCCTCCTCCCTCAGACCCAGGGGTCCCGCTCCCAGCCCCCTCTTCCAGGACACTGATCCCTAGACCCCTGCCTCCCGCCACCCCAGGCCGTGGCGCCCGGCCCCAGCTCCGTGTTCCCCCGCAGACGCTGGCCATCGAGGGCGGCGCGGAGGACCTGGGCCAGGAGGAGGTGGTCCAGCAGTGCATGCGGAACCAGCCGTGGCTGGAGCAGCTGTTCGACTCCTTCAGCGACCTGCTGGCCCAGGCCCAGGCCCACAGCCGCTGCGGGTGACCCCGCCCGCCTGGAACCGCGGATTGGGACAGAACTGTGTCTCCAGGCCTGACTCGAGGCCCTGTCGCCAGGGAACTGGGGAGGGTCACTGGTCAGGGTGTGTCCGTGCTGGCCCTCCGGAGCAGGGTTCAGAGTTCAACTCCCCTCCCTCCCCAGCCCTCCCGCTGTCCGGTGTACAGAGAAATTATTTATATATATGTATAAATGTCTATTTAGTAACGGTTCCCCCTCCTCCGTGCCCCATCTCCCCCCCTCCATGGCCATAGCCCTCACCCCCTCCACCTTGTACATAATGTATAGGAAAAATCTATGTATGGTTGAGGGGGGTGGGGCTGCTTTTGAGAGCTGGGGGACCCACTGACCCCCCCCCCTAACCCCCCTGTTACAGGCCAAGATCTTTGCTAAAAGGCCATTCCCTCCCCCAGGGCTTCCGGTGGGAGGGGGAAACGCATCTTGTTAATTATTTTTAATCTTATTTATTGTACATACCTGGGGCGGGGGGCGGGGGAGGTGGAGGGGGGAGACGGGTCCCCTCCTTTGGCCCCTCCCATTCCTTTTCTACTGCGATTTGTCTGTGTCTCTCCCCACCCTCCCCCCCAACACACCACCCCCATCCCATTGTTGTCTGGATGTGGTTCTATTTTTTATCGGTCTCCCCTCCCCGCTGCTCCCCTCTCTCTAACCCCCTCTGCTCCCACCTCCCCCCTCGCCCCTCCACCCGTTGTCTCTTGCTCTTTCTTGGGCTTCTGTACGACTCAACTTGTATACACTGTGTACACACAACCAGCCAAACGAAAACCCAACGGCAAACACTCGACCGTCGGCTGGCGTGGCTCTGTCCTGCGACGTGTGGGCGGGCCGGGGGTGGGGGGGTCCCCCGAGGGTCTGGGAATGGATGTGGCCTTTCTGGAGCCCTGGGTGGTGGTCGCACCGCGGACCATGTATCGGTTATGTCTCGCTGTGTAACAAGCAGCCCGCCCCAGAATTTAGTGGCTTGAAACAAGGAGCATCATCGAATGGTGTCTGAGGACCAGGAATCTGGGGGCGGGTTACCTGGGTGGGGGCTGGCCTAGCTCTGTCCCAAGGATGCCATTGGGTCCTCAGCCAGTGGGCAGGGGTTCTGGGGGAGGAGGAGGAACTGTGGGACGGTACATCTGAGCCATCTTACCCCAGGGCGGGAGGTGGGGATTTGCCTGGAGTTTCAGGATCTGATTTTTTAAAATTTTATTACTATTGATTTTTTTTTTACAGAGAGGAAGGGAGAGGGAGAGAGAGTCAGAAACATCGATGAGAGAGAAACATCGATCAGCTGTCTCCTGCACACGCCCCCCTGGGGATGTGCCCACAACCAAAGCACATGCCCCCAACCGGAATCGAACCTGGGAGCCCTCAGTCCACAGGCCCACGCTCTATCCACTGAGCCAAACCAGTCTTGGCAGGATCTACTTTTTTTTATTATTATTATTGATTTTTTTTTTTACTGAGAGGAAGTGAAAGGGAGAGAGAGTCAGAAACATCGATCAGCTGTCTCCTGCAACCCCCCCACCCCCACCCCACTGGGGATGTGTCCGCAACCAAGGTACGTGCCCTTGACTGGGATTAAACCTGGGACCTTTCAGTCCGCAGGCCGACACTCTATCCACTGAGCCAAACCGGTTTTGGCGTGAGCCAAATTTTTTAAACTTCTTCTAACGCCACTTCTTCAACATAGACTGGCCCAGGCCGTGGTATTTTGTGGAAGAGCCACACTCAAGGGGCCAAAGAGCCGCAGTTTGCCGACCACAGGTCTAGACCATCCCCACTGTGATGGATGGTTTCACAGAATGACTGGAATCATGTGAGACCGTAATGGGAGTTATGGATGGGCCGTGGACTCTCTGGGACCCTCTGAATCAGCTAAGAGCATCGAGAATGGACTTGAACCCTGGGATGCTGAGCTTATTGCCTCGGAGGGAGTGGCACCTTCCAGGTTCTTGGTTGAATGGATGCCACCTGGGGGCCAGAGTCCCCAGGATCAGCGTTGTTCTGGGACAGAGCTCTGTCTTCGGACGTGGGTGGCGCAGTCAGGTGGCCATCGGGGTTCGAATACCCTCGTGGTTGGCCCTTTGTCATTCAACTGTTCCAGCTGAGTCTCAGCTCTCCCACCCTCAGTTTTGTCATCTGTAAAATGGGCTTTCGGCGAGATGAAGGAAACCTGCGTGAAGCGCTGGGCACTGCGAGCACTTGGCTGCTGTCACCCTTAGAGGAGACCTGAGAGGTGTCGGAGGTCCAAGAGATGGCAAGAAGGACTGACAGACGGGATGGACAGATGGACAAAGGACCCAGAGAGACAGTCACTGACAGAGCCCGGGGGAGGCAGGAACCGGAGAGGAGAGCCGCACGGGGGCACAATGTGCCCAGGGCGATGCCATCTGGGTCACGCCAGCCTCTGGCTGCTGCCTGATGGTGTGGAATGGCGGTGGCAGCCAGTTGTCATGTGGGTTTGTTGTCATGTGCCTTGTTCCGGGGGCAAAGGCGAGCGCTCAGCTTCTCCCTGGGCCTCTTGGGGCCTCCGAGAGCCAGGGTGTCCCGGCCAAGGGCTTGGCGCTGTTTGGCAGCGCAGCCAGAACTCCGGCCTTGTGCTCGGGCGGGCCTCACCCCTGGCTCTGGGCCTTCGGTGGGGGTGTTGGGTCTTCTGTGGAAACTGCTAGAAACATCCCCTCCCTGTCCCCCAGAGGTGGGGAGGAGGAGGAGGAGGAGAGGGAGGGGGCGGGCTCGCGGGACAATGCATCGGAGCCTCGCTCATTCCCGGGCGGAAGGTGGAGCTGGTGCCAAGGATCCTGTGATAACGAAGCCGGGAGGGGACAGCCAGCGATCCTTGTTCTGCTCAGGAGCAGGGAACACAGAGGGACATTCGTGGTGCTGGCCTCCGGCCTGGGACATGGCTCTGTGGCCGCCCACGTCACACAGGGCGCGGAGGACCAGACCGAGGCGGTGGGGCTGGGCTCGAACCCGGGCCCAGGAAGTGGGTTCTGGGTGGGTGTGCGGAGAGCCCTCTGGCCTCGGACCCGGATGTGGGGGGAGGGGCCGCAGATCACGGACTGGGGACAGCTCTTCGGGGGGAGGTCAAAGTTCAGGCCTGGGGACAGGTGGGAGGATGGGGTTCTGGCTGGTGTGTTAAGTGTTGGGGTTCCCAGACGCCTGTCCGGTGGGCTTGGGGGATGGGTGAGGGGTGGTCTCCAGCCTTCTAGGGCAGCCAGTGGAGCAGGGAATGGGGGGGGTCCTGGGTTGAATGTTGGGGAGTCAAAGGTTTCCTAGCAACACTTCTGCCCCTCCCAGGAGAGGCCCAGATGGGGTGCGTCCACACCAGCCCAGTTGGGAACATTCTGGAACTGAGAACTTGCCAGCTGGCTGCTCGGACACCAATCCGTCCACCTGTCCCTTCCTCCTCCGGCCAGAAGCCCTTTCAAACATACATCGGAGGTGGGAGGGGGCGGGTGGGGTGTATGGCAGTTGCTGCCAGGCTCCAAAGTCTGGAACTTTCTAGAACACCCATGGACCTCCCTGCGGTGGTGGGAATCTGCCTGTTTGCCTTGGGGTAGCCACCAGCCACGTGGGAAGAAGGAATGGGCTCTTGAAAGGAGGCCAGTGTGCCTGAGGACAGGCCCCTGCCCTTGTCCCGGCCAAGTAGCTCCGTTGGTTGGAGCATCGTGCAGACCCAGCTGGGTTGTGGGTTCGATCCCCGTTGGGGCACAGGCAGGAGACGCGTGGGTGCATGGATGGGTGGAACAACGGGTCCGCGTTTCTCTCCCTCTCTGGGCTCATTGGGGGGAAAATAATAGTCACATGTAGCTTCTGGCTACCCTATTGAACAGTGTCGTTTTAGAATGTTCCAGGGGGGAAAACAAATTCTTTTTCCAACATTACACCTCATCCCGACAAATGCCCACCAACACAGAAAAGGGTGGGATGGCCTGTTGAAGGCTTACCTTGTTCTCAATGGCCCCTGCCCCGGGGTTCTAGATCCGATGGTTCTAGGTGGGCGTGGGCCGAGGCGTGTGTGTGTGTGTGTGTGTGTGTGTGTGTGTGTGTGTGTCACCGGCCTCCTCTAGCCCTTTCCCCTGCCACACAAGCACGTCCTGACGTTGGCAGTGACCTTTATTTCTCTGGGGCGGGGTTTTGTACAGCAGTGACCGGGCTGGGTGCCCGGGAGCCCCTCCCCCCACGGGGCCTGGGTGGGGGGCGGAGGCGTTGGCAGAGGCACGCGGTGGCAGTGGCCGCAGGGCCGGGGTCGTGGCGGGGGGGGGGGGGTGTAGTGTAGCCTGGGAGACCCAGGAGGGGGAGGGCGGCTGGTCCCTGGGGCTCTGCTGGTCCCCCTACAGGAGGACGCAGGGGCAGCCCTTGGCCTTCTTCCGGGGGGCGCTGGGCGGGCTGGGCGGGAGCTCCTGCTCCTGGTACTTCCTGTGGGGAGAGGCTGGTGAGGCTGGGCCCGGGGGCTGGGGACAGGTAATTGGGGGGGTGCGGGGGGGGGGTACCACGCACCGGACAGCCCGCACCAGCTGCTCGAAGGCCTCGTCCACGTTGAGACGCAGTTTGGCCGAGGCCTCGAAATAGGCGACGTGGCGGGAGGCGCTGAAGGTGTGGGCTTCCGATCGGGGCACCTGGGGGTGAGGCGGGGAGACACGGGAGAGACTCAGGTCCCTGCACCAGGACGGGGCAGAAGGACGGACACACTGTGCGCTGGAATGAGGGGAGGGGGTCACACACGGTGCGCTGGGGGCTCAAGTGGAAAGTCCCAGAGATCCTGTGGGGGACACGGAGGGGGCTCGGTGCCCTCTGAGGAGGGGAGAGCCTGGCCTGCGCAGACGTGTGCCCTCCTGCAAGTGAGAGGACAGTCCGTGGGGCAGAGAAGGGGGTGTTCCCAGCAGAGGCCAAGCAGCGAAGGTTGGAAATCCCCCAGAGCTCACTCTGAAGATGCGCTCTGCAGGCAATGCCATGGCAGAGGGAGGTGGTGGGAGCAGAGAAAGGAAGGGCCGAGACCCTGGTGGGCACCCCAGGGCCAATGTGGGGAGCCACGGAGGGCTGGGGGCAGGGGAGGGGCAGCGGGACCCAGTGGGAGGTGGACCAGAAGGGAGACAAGAGAGGCTGGTGCAGCCCTAGCCAGTTTGGCTCAGTGGCTAGAGCATCGGCCTGTAGACCGAAGGGTCCCTGGTTCTATTCCGGCCAAGGGCACAGGCCCAGGTTGCAGGCTTGGTCCCCGTAGGGGGTGTGCAAAAGGCACCCAACCAATGATTCTCCCTCATCATTGATGTTTCTATCTCTCTCTCCCTCTCCCTGCCTCTCTGAAATCAATAAAGATATTATATAATTTATTTTAAAAATAGAATAAAAAGAGGCTGGTGCAAAGGTCCCGGTGGGAACAAGAGCTGGGGGTGCCGCAGAGTCACGGCTTGGGGACCTAGGGACCAGCCACCTCTCCTGGGAACACCTGGGGGGCAAAGCCGGGGACTCAGGCTTGGGGGGGGGCGGGCAGCACATCTAGTGAGGGGCGTGGCCGCGGAGGGGGCCGGATCCCACAAGCCAGAGGATGCTGAGGTGAGGAGGGACAGGAGGCGCCCCCGCCCCCGGGCTGAGACGGAGTCCCCCGGGCGTCTGGGACCTGGCGCTGCGCTTCCAGATCGGCCTTGTTCCCGACCAACACGATGGGGAAGTCGTCTCGGTCCTTGACGCGCAGGATCTGCGTGAAGAGCTTGCTCACCTCGTTGAAACTGCGGAGGAAGCCCGGAGGGGTGCGGTCCAGCTGTTCAGCCCCGCCCCCAGGACTGGCCCTGGCCCCGGCTCAGCTCCGCCCGTCTTAGCCCCGCCCCCAAGCTAAACCCCTCCCCTGACCCAGCCCCGCCCCCAGGCTCGGCCCCGCCCCCAGGCTCGGCCACCTCCCCGCTCCCCTCACCTCTGCCGGTCGTTAATGGCAAACACCAGCAGGAACCCGTGCCCGGCGCGCATGTACTGCTCCCGCATGGCGCC